ATCTGCAGTGGTGCACAGGCGCAGCAGGCGGCAGCGAGAGCCGGCGCAGCAGGGGCGGGCTCAGCAGCGGTGATACGCGGGCGGCAGCGGGCGCAGCAGCGGCGGTGCGCGGGCGGCGGCGGGCTCAGCAGCAGCGGTGCGCGGGCGGCGGCGGGCTCAGCAGCGGCGGTGCGCGGGCGGCTGCGGGCTCAGCAGCGGCGGGCCGGGAGCAGTGCGGGCAGCGTGCGGGCCGGCGGCGGTCAGCGCACGAGCCGCGCAGGCTCAGCGCGGGCTGCGCGGGCTGCTCGCGGGCTGCGTAAGCGGGTCGCGGGCGGCTCGCGGGGGTTCGCGGGCAGGTCGCGGGCTGCTCGCGGGCAGTTCGCGGGCTGTGCGCGGGCTGCGCGGGCTGGTCGCGGGCTGCGCAGGCGGGTCGCGGGCTGTGCGCGGGCGGTTCGCGGGCTGTGAGCGCGGCGCGCTGTGCGGTTCGCGGGCGGCGTGACGGGGCCGATCGGGGCGCTAAGGGGCGACGCGACGGGGGCCGTGAGAGGCCGCTAAAAAAAAAAAAAAAAAATTTCGACGGGGCCGCAGGGCCGCTAGATCGTGCTAGATCGACGGGGCCAGCGGGGCCGGAAACAAGCGAAGGTAAGCAGGTAGGTAAGTCGGTGGGCCCTAAGAACAGTCCTAGCGAAGGACCTGCTCTGATACCATGTCAGAAATAACTGAGCAGGAATGAATGAACTAGAACAGAGTTTGGTACAAGTAGTAAACCCTAACTTTGTGTACCCCCTAAGGTGTAACCCACTACAGCCTAGACAATATAAACATGCAATGTTTGACATCCAGCGCCAGTGCCTCCAACACCAGTGCCTCCAACACCAGTGCCTCCAGCTCCAGTAGCTCCAGCTCCAACTTCTCTAGCTCCAGCGCCCACAGCTCCAGGGCCACCAGCGCAAGTGCCTCCAACACCAGCGCCTCTAGCTCGAGCACCTCCAGCTTCAGCGGCTCCAGCTCCAATGCCCCCAACTCCAGCGCCTCCAGCTCCAGCTCTTCCAGATCCAGCTCCTCCAGCGCCAGTGTCTCCAGCTCCAGCACCTCCAGTACCTCCAGCTCCAGTACCGCCAGCGTTAGCGCCTCCAGCTCCATGGCCGCCAGCGCTTGCGCCTCCAGCTCTAGGGCCACAAGTACCAGCGGCGTGCGCGCGGCGCGATGGCAGGGCAGGGCGCGCGCGGGTCGCGCGACTGGCAGGGCAGGGCGTACGGGCGACGCGACGGGCAGGGGTAGGGTAGACGGGCGACGCGACGGGCTGAGGCAGCCCGCTCGGGCAACGCAACTGGCCAAGGCAGGGCGTACGGGCGACGCGGCGGGCTGCCGCAACCCACTCGGGCAACACGACGGGCAGCAGGGGTGCACAGGCGGCGTGGCGCCACGGGCAGCAGGGGCGCGCGGCGCGACGGGCAGCAGGGGCGCGCGACGCGATGGGCAGCAGGGGCGCACGACGCGACGGGCAGCAGGGGCAGGGCGTTCGCGGGCAGCGCAACACGGGGCAGGGCGTGCGCGGGGCAGCGAAACACAGGGCAGGGCAGAGCGCGCACTAGACAGCGCAACGCAAGGCAGCGCGGCAGCCAGCAGGGCGGCACGCGGGCAGGGCAGCACGACTGGTGGGGCAGCGCGACGGGCAGGGTAGGGCGCTACGAGCAGGGTAACGCGCTACGGGCAGGGTACGATCGGTGGGGCCAAACGAGAACGGTCCTGGAACAGGACCTGCTCTGATACCATGTCAGAATCAACAGCAAGAATGGATGCAAAAAATTTGGTACAAGTACTAACCCTAATTGGGTTGTACCCCATACAGGCTACCCCACTACAGCCTACACAACATAGCATAATGTTCTGACACAAGTGTCGTCCTAAGTGTGTCGTGCCACTCACGTGGAGCCTGTCTGGCGGAGAGCGTAGACTGGCTGTCGGAGGCTCTACTGGGTACCCTCGGGAAACGACCCAGTAAAGCCATGAGGAGGGCGCAACCATATCTCCTCGTGCAGGCTGCCCTGTAGGAAAGCTGTGCTGAAGTCAAGAGAGTGAAGCTCATAGTCACGCTGAGCGGCAACATGCAGCAGCACCCGAATTCAACCCCCTGTTGCTGACTAAAGCCTTGTGCAACGTAACGAGCCTTGAAGATAGGCGGAGAACCCGACGGCCGCTTCACCCTGAAAATCCACATGCCATCGACTATGTTCGCCCCAGGAGGGGGAACTGTGTCAACGTACGTGCCTGTGGACTTTCAGGATGCCATCTCTGCGTCCATGGCTGTCTGCCACTGAGAGGATTAGGGACCCGTAATCGCCTCTGCGTAAGAGCGCGGGGTCGAGATGTCCAGTGCATCCGGGTCTCCCTCAGGTGCAAGCAGCATGGCCACGAGATGAGGTACAGTGGCTGCAAGACCCTCAAAGTCCTCCTGTCTGTCCTCAAGGACGTTCGTGCCAAGAGCACACTCACCCCCGACGGACGGAGGACAGACAGACCCGGACTCTGCAACTAGGCTAGTGACGTAGTCTAGATGACACGCAGCAGCAAAGTCGACAAGCTCAGCAACTAAGGCAGACGCAACAGTGGACTCAAAGGAAGGGTCATTGACAACAATGGCTAGGAGACGTGTGAAAGTAGGGCTGGCAGGACGAACCAAGTCAGACTCAGGGTCAGGAACAGTAGAAAGAGAGGACTCTGGAGGAGACGACAGGGTAACACGCTGTGACAGAGGAAGGACGAAGTGCTATAGTGTCCGTTCCGGGGACAGGTGGAGGACGAGTACGGGGAACACTACGAGCATGGCAAACAGTGCGAACAGGGGAGGCAGGACGAGACGCAGGCTCACGACGCTTTGTCAGGGAGTCTGGCTGTACTGTGTAAGGGGAAAGAGCAGACAGTGAGGAGTCCGGCGGTAACTGTGTCTGAGACAGGTCAGGCAGTGGACACAGTAAGGGAGGAGTAAGGCCAGTGGAAGACGGAAGACTAAGAACCTGGCAAAGCACTGAGTCAGGTGGCAGCAGGGACGACTGCGGCGGCGGTAAGAAAAACGGTCGCTGCAGCGCATCACCCACAGCGCCAGAGCGGTCAGCTCCAGTACCGCCAGAAACTCCAACACCTCCAGCACTAGCAGCTCAAGTACCTCCAGTACCAGCAACCTCAGGACCTCCAGTACCTCCAGCTCCAGTACCTCCAGCACCAGCAGCTCCAGCACCTCCAATGCCTCCAACTCCAGCGCCTCCAGTGTCAGCGCCTCCAGCTCCAGGGCCTCCAGCTCCAGCAGCGCCACTCCAAAGGCGGGTGCGCTAAGCAAACCACCCGCGCAGCTGCTGTGGTGAGAGAGGCTCCCGTCGGCTAGACCGCTGCGGCGAGGCACCCGTAGGACCGCCGGCAAACGCAGTACCCCTAGGCTCAGCACCCCCAGAAGCACCAGGCGGCGAAGACGGCCGAGGTGGAAAACCCAGAGGGGTCTCCAAGCGTGGTGAGCGGCGGGGGGCCGCCACGTCGTCAGCAGCAATGCCACCCCCCTCATCTGGGCCAGAGGTGTCGGAAGTGACCTCGAAAGGCTCAGCCAAGGGGAGTGGGTCTACCTGAGACACACCTGAAGGAGCAGGACCCTGAGGGGGGAGGGGGTCTACTGGAGGGGGACCTGGAGAAAGGAAGAGCGGCGGGGGGGGGGGGGGGGGGGGGGGGGGGGGGCAGTGCGGTAGGGGAAGAGACGGTAAAAGGGAACTGACTCGTCAAACGTGACGTCCTGAGAGGACAGAACACGACGCGAGGTGGGGTGGTAAAACTGTCAGTCAGGCGCGTCACTGGGAAAGCCAAGGAAGACGCAGGGAACGGCGCGAGGGGAGATCTTGTCCGCGGTGGTATCGCGGACAAAGGCACGAGAGCCCCAGACCCGGAACACCGACGCATCGCCAACCTCCCCCGTCCAACGCAGAGAAGGCGAGGTCTCTGGCAAGGAGACACGGGGCCAGAGGTTGAGCTGATGCGCAGCGTACCGGACCACAAACGGCCACAGAAAATGGGGAGCAGCCGCATGGATCATGGAGGTACAAGCGACCTCCATGACTAAGCCAATGCGGCGCTTAGCAATCTCATTTTGTTGCGGGAAGGCCGGAAGCGTGAACGACTGGAGGATGCCCTCCCCCCCATAAAAGTCCCGCAGGAGGTGGGAGGAGAACTCACCACCTCTGTCAGAGTGCAGGCGCATGACAAGAAGGTCCTGGCGGAACCGCTCGCGGAGCTGGAGACGGACAGCGCGGATCCAAGAAATCAAGACATCAGGGACCTCCCCCTTGCTGCGCAAGGGGAAGACCGTGGTGTAACGCGAATAGTCGTCGACAACCAGCAATAAGTATCGCTCGCGGTACTGTCCATGGACGCGGGTTGGGCCCCACATGTCCATATGAAGAGTCTGAGTAGTCGTCGGGGGAAACGAGGAGTGAGGAGCGGCGCGCTGCCGCCCCTCGACGCTCTGATACCATGCCAAGATACTGAACGAGAATGTGTGCATTGAGAACGAGCTGAGTACAACTATTAACTCTTGTTAGTGTAGGTTGTACCCCTTATGGGCTACCCCACTACAGCCTACACAACACAAACATCATTATGGTTTGACACTCTTAGACTAGCCTTGTGGCCTCTTTTGCTTGTGCTCGGAGTGTGTGGTGACGTCGTGATCCACCCTGAGCTTTGTTTCTTTGTGAGCTTTGTTTCTTTGTGATTGGTTTTGTGACTGTATGATTTTGGTTTTGCTTGACACCCCTCACTTAGGCTATGGGGGTGTGTCAAATGTTGTAGCCTTTAGTGATGCATGTCAAATGGGGTAGAGCAATTAGGGTTCGGTTTATGTACCCCAACCACTAGTCAATCATCATTAGGTTTTTGACAACATCTACCGGTAGCTACAATCATCGGCCGAAATCGCGCTCCAGATTTTTGCAAGTTCTGAGACTATACGGTCCATATTGATTCGAGCCCTCAAGCTCGGATTAGTGGCGAAGCGAGCCAGAACCACCATTTGAAGAACATGCAGCTTTTCCCACTCCCCCTCTATAGTTGGGTCAGTAACCAAGGAGGCATTGCTAAAATCTTTGGGGATGACCACCTTCTGCCACTCTTGATACTTTGTATCTAGTGGTGCATAGCCAAAGATCAGCTCCAAAAGGAACACACCGAACGCATATGTGTCAGACTGCTGGCTTAGTTGGCCTGTCTGAAAATAGTTTGGGTCGATGTAGCCTAACGAGCCGACCGGTGCTGTTGACACGTGCGTTTTCCAGTCCTCAATGGTGCGAGCCAAGCCAAAGTCGGCCAACACGGCAGTGAAATCCTGTGAGTTACAGGTTACAAAGGAGGGAGTTGGAACATGGGAATAATGTGAAAAGTAAACCAAATGTGACAAGAACCTAGATGATGAGAAATCACAGGATGTTGCTGAGACGAGTGCAGTGTATAGTTGCAGTGGACATATTTTAGCTGAACAATGGTAAGCACAACATAATCGGGAGACGATGGATAATAAAAGCAAGAGTCTCTCCTCTTGCTTTTACACACATACAATAGACATGGGAATCATAGGCTAGACTCTTTAACCCGCCATACCTCTCGCAGAAGCACGTTTGACGACTTGAAGTCGCGGTGAATGAACCTGTTTTCGTGAATAATCGCCAGCGCCTTGGCACACCCCAGCGCAACCTTCACACGATCCCTCCACGAAAACCGTGCTTCGTTCCTGCGGACTGAAGATGAGGGGGGGAGGGGAATGCGAGGGGAGAGTGGGAGGGGGGGGGAGGGGGAGCAGTGGAGGAGGGGGGATGGGGGGGAGAGGGTAGGAGGAAAAAAGGTGTCGAGACGACATGGGAGAGACGAAATGCTGACAGAAGATGACAAGTGAGGGCTGATAGGCCTGGCATTTCTAATAACGGTCATCTCTAATGACGGTCATTACGACCTATCAAGCAAGCGCAGTTGTACCAACGGGAGGAAAAGGGTTGATTAAGTTATGGGAGGAAAAGGGTTGATTAAGGCATTAAGCATTAAGCATCTCGTTGGAGAAAATACTAAGGTCGCTTTAGGGATCAACTCATACACGAGATCTGCTTAATGTGACATTCCCCCCTCCCTCCCCCAAGCCACCAACTCCAAAACAACGTGAGAGGGGACTCTTCTCACCTCGTTGGAGAAGTTTCCTCACGTCGCCTCCCGGGATGAGCTCATACACGAGAATTGGCCTCTGCTCCATGTCCATCGCAACGCCTTCCAGCCTCAGAATGTTGGGATGATTCATTGCTGACATGGCTACCACCTCAGCCTGAAATCACGGAACAGAAACGAAGCACATTTGATTGGACACATAACCAAAGAACAGTACGGTTTCTGAGGCGACCGTGATTGCTACATAATTTCTGTTTTTTTCATTGAGTCATTTTCAACATTGTTTCGTCTTCGAAAAGTTTTGGCCACCACAGCTGGCATACCCCGCGCTGCCATCCACGCACTACCGCACTCACCTCAAAGCACTGCAGGTCTCGAGGGGTGAATTGTTTGCCATTCGTCACTTTGAGTCGACTCAAAATACACCCAATTTTGGCCACCACAGCTAGCATACCCCCGGCTGCCCATCCACGCACTACTACAGAGCACTCACCTCGAAGCACTGCAGGTCTCTCTCGGTGAATTGTTTGCCATTCGTCACTTTGACTGCCAGCTCACGCTCCCTCGTCGCGCCACCGTCCGCAGCCTGCGGCAGCACCATCCGCCCGCGGTACACCTTTCCGAACCCCCCCTCTCCTATGACGCGCGCAGGCGCAAATCCCCCCGTCGCCGCGTGCAGCTCCGCGTAACTGAACGCGCGGAGCGGAGGGAGGCCGGCGGACGTCCGCGCAGAGGGAAACTGCGCGGGGAGAGAGGACTCCGCCTGAGGCGAAAGTTCTTCTGCCAGAGGCGGCGGCGGCGGGGAGGGGGAAGGGTCGACGGGAACCACTTCGGAAGGGTGGCTCCGCTGGCGGTGGAGAGGCGCGGGTTGGCGGTGGCCCGCAACGGAGGACGGCGTGTGTGACGGCTGGGGCGCGCCGGCGGTTTCGGCCTGTTGAGCGGAAGTGGCGGAGCCTGTGCGGGGCGGAAGGGGGGAACGAAGGGGCGGAAGCGTGAGATCAGCTGAGGAGAAGCGAGTTGAAGCGGAAATGTAAGAAATTTCTCGGCTGCAGTTCACTCAGAAATGGAAGAAATTGATAGGATCCCCGGCTTCAGCTTTGACTTCAATGCAGGAGGGGACCCGTCAACTTGACGCAATCATTCTAACGAACCGAAACGACTGCCAGAGCCAGTCGAAGTCCGAGACGCGAATCACCTCGATAACTATGACTCACCTGCCGCCTTTACTGTCCGCGCCTCTTCGTCGCCGCGAAAACAGCAGCAGCAATTGCCCATGGCTGCGGTAGGACGCGAGTTGAATGCGCAAGCAGCCTCAGACTGAGGCTAAAATTTCGAACGCCAACGGTTAAACAGGGTTAACGGCTCAGACTTTGGTTCGCTGGTAACAGCGCTTGTCGCCAACGTGTCTCTCGTCAAGAGACTTCTCGCGCCTTGGCGGCTTCTGAAGCAGCAAGAGGCTGCTGCTGGCGGCTACTCTGTCGGTGCGTTGATTTTCAAACTCGAATGAGAATATGAGCTTCAGAGGGAAGTGATAAATAGTTTGGTGAACTGACGAGATTGGGCTGGGCTGGGCAGGACTGATGGGAGGGAGAGGAATCGGGACTTGGGATTAGAGTGTGTCATAAGTGTACATCCGAATGTGGTTGAGTACGTTTCGGAACAATCCAAAGTCTTTTCTGGCTGGGTAGGGTATTGTTGCGAGCACATACTTTTCGGACTGCCCTTGGGGGGAGAGGGGGAAGGGCTACCAGTTCAATGCACTGTGTTGATTTAGGGCGTATTCCTATGGCGGGTCTGACTCAGGTCATCCGCCCTTAGTCTCTGATTTGTCTCTTCTCAATGTTGATTTGCCCCTATTTTGAACCACTTCGGGTCTTCCGATTTTCTAAGGACGGATGACCTGATGTCAGACACGAGGTAGGAATGCGCCCTGATTCGGACTCGCACGCGGATTTGCGGAATTGGAGGGACGGGGTGCGAGCCTTTGATTGGTTACGCACGAGCGCGCGAATCAGGTAAGGGAGAGATTTCTTTTTTCCGCGGTGGTGGTGGGGGGGACGAGGAAATGGGAGGGAAAAAGGGTGAACACTGAACTGCAGTGATTCCCAAGGGAAAGTAGTCTGACGATTGCTACAGCTATCGGGCAAGACCTGAGTGAATTGACAATGCATGCACCAAACCATACTAAAACGCACCAAACCACACTGAAGCACACTTTTGAAACCCGCGCGCAATTGCATCAGGGTAATTCCCCCTCTTCCCCCACCCCTGCCACTAACACCACAATCGAAGTTGTGGCGAGGGATCGCTCCCTCGCTCTTTTCCTCCACTCACACCACACACTCTTCCCTTCCCATCACGAAAACATGTACACCGTGCCGTACACGGATAATTCTCAATCGTCACCCCCATTCCCTCCAACGCGCCTTGGTTGAGCGTAGCGAATCAAAAGGCTCCCTCACACTCCCCTCCACCAAATCCGCGTGCGACTCGGAAATGCAGCAAGTCAGGGAAGAGCCCTTCGCCGCCATCCCCTTCACCTTCCCCTCCCCCTCCCCCTCCCCCTCTTCCCCGCGCCCCCAAAATCCCGATTCCTCCCCTCTCGGCCTAGCTCAACCCAACTTTCTCAGGCAAAACGAACAGATACCCCTTCACCTCTCACACTCACTGAAGCTAATTTCCTGACTCGAGTTAGAAACACTAGTGCTGACTCATCGCTGTTAGAAGAAGTAGCAGCTGGCGGCAGCTCCTCGCTGCTTCAGTCGTTTCCTGGTCGCGAGAAGTCGCTTGACGAGACATGTCGGCGATAACCGCTGTCGCTAGCGAATCAGAGTCTGCTTGCTCGTTCAACTCGCTGCATTCACTGCATTCAGCGTTCGATTCGAGGCGCCTCAACAAACACGCGCTGCCGCCGCCAGCAAACCAGAATCTCAGCAAGCAGGCTGCTTGTGCGTTCAGCTCGCTTCGTTCATTGATTCCGCGTTCATCTGTCTAGACGCCTCAACAACCTCTGTCGCCAGCGAATCAAAGCCTCAGTCGCAAGCAGGCTGCCTGCGCCGCGTTCAAATTTCCTACGTTCACTCCGCCATGGGCAATTGCGTCAGCTGCTTTCGAGGCGGCAGAAAAGAGCGGCCAATGAGATGTGAGCCAATATTGGCTAATCCGACATAAGTTCTAACGAGATGATTTACTGCGACGGATAGGTGCAGCCAGCGAAAGGGACGGAAGATGAGTCGTCGCGTCGCGTCCCGGACTCCCGGGAAATACGAGGGGAAGTGACGGAAGATGAGTCGTCGCGTCGCGTCCCGGACTCCCGGGAAATACGAGGGGAAGTGACGGAAGATGAGACGGGGTCGAATGTCTGGCCGTTTGATTGAAACGTCAATCGACGCTCATGCTATTCTCCTAGTGCTCAGAGATCTTCAGCCGAGCCGCGGCCCATATTTCTTCCCACTTTCGCCTCACAATGTCCGCGACTGTAACTAATTTCCCCTCTACTGATTTTCCCATTCCCGCTCTTCCGTTCCCCCATATCGTCGCTCCGTAAAGGCGCCGCTTCCGCTCAACAGGCCGAAACCGCCGGCGCACCTCTACTGTCGTATTCGCCATCCTCCGTTGCGGGCCACCGCGCATGCCAATCCGCGCCTCTCCTCCGCCCGCGGAGCCTCCACCCTTCCGAAGTCGTCCCCGTCAACTTGAACCCTTCCCCCTCCCCGCCGCCTGCTCAATCCCCGCCGGCGGCAGAAGAGTCATCGCGCGCCACAGCCGCCTCGTCCGGAGAGTCCCGCAGCAGTAACTACGATTCATCGAGTTGCCACGACCTGTCGAATTCCGCCGCAGCAGCCGCTGCCTATTATGACCCTTCGCAATCCGCAGCCTACTACAATTCGAGCTTCGACCCCCGAGCCTACCGCGAGTCGGACACGTCGAGTCTTTCCGCCGCCGCCGCGGCCGCGCAACAGCCGACGCCACCGCCGCCGAGCACGCACCATGAAGCTCCTCATGCCTCGCTCGGTGATTTGCTGTCCAGTCATCACTTTGACTGCCACATCACGCTCTCGCATCGCGCCGCCGTCCGCAGCAGGCAGCATCATCCGCCCGCGGTACACATTTCCGAACCCCCCCTCCCCTATGACGCGCGCAAATCCCCCCGTCGCCGCGCGCAGCTCCGCGTAGCTGAACTCACGGAGCGGAGGGAGGCCGGCGGACGTCCGCGCTGAGACGAAGTCGCGCGCGGAACTCATGACGGAAATTAGCGCGGGGAGAGAGGACTCGGCGGAGGAGCTGGCGGGGAGAAGAGCAAGGCACTGGCAGTGGGTGAGCTGGAGTAGTGCTGCCAGACAACACAGAGCAAGGCACTGGCAGTGGGTGAGCTGGAGTAGTGCTGCCAGACAACACAGAGCAAGGCACTGGCAGTGGGTGAGCTGGAGTTGTGCTGCCATTCAACACAGAGCAAGGCACTGGCAGTGGGTGAGCTGGAGTAGTGCTGCCAGACAACACAGAGCAAGGCACTGGCAGTGGGTGAGCTGGAGTAGTGCTGCCAGACAACACAGAGCAAGGCACTGGCAGTGGGTGAGCTGGAGTTGTGCTGCCAGTCAACACAGAGCAAGGCACTGGCAGTGGGTGAGCTGGAGTAGTGCTGCCAGACAACACAGAGCAAGGCACTGGCAGTGGGTGAGCTGGAGTAGTGCTGCCAGTGTGTGGAATGCAGCCTTGTATACAACTGTGATGGAGCCAAAAAGGAGAAGAACAACATCATGAACAAGATCCAGCAAATGAAAAATAAAAATAATAAGGAAGAGAATGTAATGATTGCTCTTGCCTCTGTTTGGGCATTCCTTCCTTTCCTTGCTTACCTGTCCAGCCCTGTCCCCCTCTAACTGTAAGCTAGGTGCGTTTTGAGTTGACTCAAAAGTCGCTCTTACCTTTTTTTGGGCATTCCTTCCTTTCCTGGCTTACCCTGGCTAACCTGTCCAAATCCATTTCCCTCTAACCGTAAGCTTGAGGCAATAACAGGCTCCCTCCAATAACGTTTTCCGTGTTTTCAGGCTGAGGTGGAAGCCATGTCAGCAGTGAATCATTCCAACATTCTGCGGTTGGAAGGTGTGGGGCTAGACGCGGAAGAGAAGCCGATTCTCGTGTATGGACTGATCCCTGGAGGCGACGTCAAGAATTTTCTCGCAAGAGGTGAGAAGAATCCCCTTCCTCGTATGCCTTTTTTTTTCACATGATTAATTCTGGTGGCGGCGGGGGGAAAAGGGGGGAAGAGGAGGAGAAGGGTGAGGTAGGGGAATGTGGGGGGGAAGGAGCTGATCCCTGGAGGCGACGTTAAAAAAGTTTCTCCAACGAGGGGAGAAGAATCTGAACTCATTTTCCCTCCACTTCCCCCTCTCCCTTCCTCCCTCCCCGCCCCCCATCCACCCACTTTCTCCTCTCATGTTCTCCTCACATTCTTTCCTCTCCCTTTACAGTTGGTATGCTTTGTAGGCCAATAATGACCATCAATATAAATGATAAGGCCTATCAGCTCTCACATATGAGATGCGGTCAGTATTGCTCCCATATTACCTTTACGTATGGGATTCCACGTTTTGCATCCTACCCTCTTTCAAACCCATTTCCTTCAGTCACTGAACCATTTCCCCCCATCCCCTCCCCTTACAATGCTTCCCCTCCCTCCCCCCCTCGTCTTCCCTTATCCAGTCCGCGGAAACGAAGCACGGTTTCCGTGGAAGGATCATGTGAGGGTTGCACTGGGCTGTGCCAAGGCACTAGCTGTCATTTACGAAAACATGTTCATTCACCGCGATTTCAAGTCGTCAAACGTGCTTCTACGAAAGGTACGGAGGTTAGAGAGCTTAGCCTGTGATTCTCATGTCTATTGAATGTGTGAATTATCCCTTCCTTTTTTTATGATTACTCTTTCCCTGGCTATGTTGTGCCAACAATTCTCGGCTAAAATTTGTCCACTCTACTTGCATAACACCTTCATTTTAACAGTCTTGTGACGTCTCGTCCTCCCAACTCATTCTAGTATCTTCGTATCATTTTGTTGTCCCATTCTTTCTGACTATAACTTGTAACTCGCAGGATTTCACTCCAGTGTTGGCCAACTATGGTTTGGCTCACACCATAGAGGACTGGAAAACACACGTGTCGACCGCAGTGGTTGGCTCAATCGAATACATTGACCCAAACTACTGGCAGACAGGACAAATATGCCAGTTAGCTGACACATATGCGTTTGGTGTGTTCCTTTTGGAGCTGATTTCCAGCTATTACCCCCTCAATGGTAGGTTCAAAGAGCTGAGGAAGGAGATGACCTACACTGATTTTGACCCTTCTTGGGTCGATCCTACCATCGAGGGAGAGTGGGAACTGGTGCATGGCCAACAACTTATTATCGTGGCTCGCTATGCCACGAAACCAATCTTGAATCGTCGACGCAGAATGAACCGTTTGGCAGCAGCACTTCAAGACATCTGGGACACAATGTAGGCCAACAACCGTAGCTAGTCATGGAGAATAGAATGCCTTGGTTAATTGCTCATACCAGCAAAACCTTCACAATATTATTTCCTCATTGAAGTCCTTTAGTACGTTCATGCTTGTTGAAGCATGTTTTTGTGAACAATGTGATTGGTTTTGTCACCAAGCTTGAGAATACTTGCAGAGATTACTAAGTTTTCCCAGCATTTGTGATCACTTTGTTCGTGCATGACTTATATAGTATGGTAGGTCTGCGCATACACATTTCTGTACACCCTAGACTCTATATGCTTGTAAAGGGCATGAACGGCTTCAAGGAACGTTTTCTGTCACACGCAAGTTTCGTGCTTCCTTCCGTGGTTCCACGTCGTTCAATCACGAAACTCGCGTGGCCGGCGCGTTGATGCTCGTCCTTGATTGGAGCATGTGGAAAGTGGACGTGTCAGTGCCGTTCGTGGTCACTGTGTCCCCCAAATCTATGGGTGACACGCAGGATTGACTTTTCCAGAACTCCAGAGAAGCCAACACTTGCGGCTCCGCTTCTTCTGTTCCAGCGTGTATCTTTGCTAGCGTGACATGGCTCGAGCCGGAAGGTCCAATCGATTTCCTGGGAATTTTATGCTTGTGGGCCCAAGCTCTATCGGTCCGTCCATTCACCGTTGCACTTCGCACCCGCCTGCCCAACCACCATCGTCCTCCACTCCATTCACTGTCAGTCACTCATGCTGCCGTCGTCAGCGTAGACTGCTTACACCTCAGCAAGGGAAAATCTCTCTTGCGGCTGGCATTCACTTCCCCTCACACCGCACCGCCTTCATACAGCAGCTCCCCTTTCGACCTCATTCCAGCGTTGCCTTTGTAACCTGACTTTAGCGTATTGTATCGTCTAATAACGTATTCAACCGCTCCAAAACGCTTCTTGTCACCAGACCCTCGCACGCACCCATCACGTCACGACACGAGTCGTTTGTTGTGCATGCCCAAACCTCGCCCTCCGTCCCGCTCCTGCCATATGGTTTTATGGTGTTTTCTAGTTTTCGATTCCTTTCGGCAGTGGTTTTGACACCGTCTGGCTTTGCGCTCGCGTCCGATTCCTTGGGGCAGTTTTTTTCGACATTTCCAATTTCCTGTCACGAGAGCAATTATGAAGAATACCTGGTTTAAGTTTAGTGGCCAGTGGGAAAAATAAACCCCGCTCGGATGGCTGGCCATTTGGGAGGCATCAACCCTAAACACCTTGCCTCATGGTGTTTAGGGTTGATGCCTCCCAAATTGCACGCCATCCAAGAGGGTATATATTATTGGTCCCGAGCTGCTAGTTATGAAGCGACGATTTATTTGGAATATCCTCCTAAAACGATATAATATGATCGGATGGTCTCTGAAAGGGAATTCGCGAATATTTCGGCCCGCAGGTATCGGACGCGAGCGCGAACCGAGGCGATGTCAAAACCACTGCCGAAAGGAATCAGAAACCAGAAAACAGGGCGCTCCGTCATTTCCTCGTCTTTGGTAGATGCTCCCTTCAGCTTCGCGTCGCGTGTCCTGAGCAAGCCAAATGCGGCGCCTCCTCTTTCCGATCGTCGGTACATTTTGCCGTTTTTCCAATCCTTTTCCTAGTCGCATCTCATTACGTCATATCCCATCCACCCTCCATTCGTCTAGTGCTGTGCCGCCGTCTGCTCTGTTTTCCTCCGTCTTCCCCAACATTACCTCTTTAGGAGCTATTTAGGTTGAAAAAAACTCTTACTTTTCCGCGCAGAGCTGAAGCGAGAGGTATGCACAGCAGCTCGTTTCCCGGCCAACAGGGCATCGCACACCCTGCGGCTGAATCCCGAAAGGTACCCAACGAAGCTCCTCGAGCGAGAGATTGTTTCCAGATTGCTCCAGAGTGCGACGAGTTTGAATGCGACGCTTCGCATCGTGAGCCTGCTTCTTTTTCCACTGCTCCGCATTCGGAGTACGGTTTCGGGCCTCGCAGACGTGTCGCTCACGCCACCTCCCGTTCCCAGATAACTAGCGAGGCTGGGAAGGATAGCGCGGATGCGGACGATTGTGTTTCTTCGAAGTACGCTATCGAAGACGGTGATAGGGAGGATGGAAACGACGGCGATGAGGTTGACGACGACGCAGCATCCGAGAACCTTCCGATATCGCTCGTCGTAGCGGCTTTATTTTTGGACACTAAAGGACAGTCGAGAGCGCTTATTAAGAAGCTATGTTCGTTTGACTCCGATTTTTTCCACAGAAAGCTTCTAACTCTGCCCGGCGTCACTCGCACCGCGTCCTTTGTTAAACAAGGGATCACCTGGCTACAGACGCACCTTTCCGTACCTGTAATGAGTCACGCGGATGCTTTCAGCGGGCAATCTTATAGCGCGGATGCTCTCGCCAAGGGCGGTCGCTGCAAAAGGTCGCCGTGCGGGTCGTGCTGCGTGTCGATGCCGAAGGACTCGCATGAGCACGGAAACGCTGACTACTATCTGCCGAACCGCGCCCGGTCCAGCAAGCAGGTACCTTGCTCGTCCAGACTCGAAACACGGTTCAGTTTTGCAACTCGAAACCTCGCACGCCCTTTCTTTGCGGGCATGCCGTCCCCACCCTTCCACGCCCCTTCCCTGCCCTCCTTCCCCTTCCCCTCCATCCCCTATTTCCCACCTTTCCCAGCCGTTATACTTTCGAGCTCCCAGGTTTTTTTTAGGCACTTCAAAATCTCGTCGCACGCCCTTCCCCAGCCGTTCTGCGACTTTCAAACTCGCCGGTGCTTTCTGTGAGGCGCCTCAAGTTGTCGTCTCACACCCTTCCCCAACCGCTCTACCCCTTTCGAACTCGCAGGTGCTACCGCTCGTCGGCCTCGGAGCCGTCGCCATCCTTGTGCTGCTCGTCCGCGGCGGGGTACCGGCTCGAACTCCCTTCCACCGCGGCATCTTCCCTTTCCCAAAGCTCCCCACGGGTGCTACGGCATCCGTCTACCAATCAACGACTGCCGCGTGGCTGGACCTCACCGCCCTGTTCTTCCTCTTTTTCGGCACCGCCGCCTTGACGCGGTTCGCCATAATCCACCTGATCCGGCGGCATCCGCATTTGAGCCTTCCACTCGCGGCGCTGCTTCCCGCCGATCGCGGCGGCGGTGGTCGGGGTTCCGCGGGGAGGAGTGGGTGCGCGCCTGGGGGATCTGTGTTCATGCGTGACCTCTGCGGAAAAGCCGCCAAGATGGGGCTCGGCGGAGGGTTCTGGCGCGCGGCGTGGTGGCAGGCGCAGCTTTCGCCTTCCCCGCGCGGGAGGCGCAGCTCCGCGCAGCTGGCGGAGCGATTTTCCGCCACCAGCGGCACCAGCAAAGGCATGTCAAAGTTTGGAGATGCTGTAGACGACGCGTTATGCCTTACTGTGAGGCGGTACACTAACGGGGATAAATACGAAGGCGAGACGCGTGACGGGGTAGCGTCCGGAAGCGGCGTGTACTATTTCGACGAAGCTGCGGGGAAATACGAAGGCGAATGGGCGGACGGAAAATACAGCGGGTTGGGTGTAGAATCGTGGGAGAGTGGTAGCGTGTACCGAGGAGAGTACAAACGCGGATACCGCGAGGGGCGGGGGCTGTACCAGTTCCACACGGGGGACGCGTATGCGGGCGCGTGGGCGCGCGGGCAGAGCCACGGCGCGGGGCTGCAGATGTGCGCGGATGGGAGCACGTACGCGGGGCAGTTCTCGTACGGGCTGAAGCATGGCTTTGGGATCTACACCTTCAGGTACCGCTTTGAATCTGCTTATATGTGCTTGCACCGTGAGCTACCCCTCTCTTTCTCTGTGGTTCCTGAAAGCACGTATGCGTGGCAATTTTTCGTACGGCCTGAAGCAAGGCGTTGAAAGATACAACTTCAGGTACTGGTAGCGCCTTTGGGTAACGCCGTTTTTTCTTAGATATTGGTGTTTGCGTAGCGCTTTGAGGATTCTTTCACATGGGTTTGGGACTGTGGCTGGGAGCCTGGAAATTGCACATGAAGGTAAGCAAAGCCACTGGGGAGAGTTGAGAGGCATGTGGCTCCACTGGTTCTTGCAAAGCCTGTCCTAAGGGCGATCGTATTTCTGTGTGAAAGAAAAGATTGCGAACGTACGTGTGTACATGTTCAGCTAGGATCCTTTCACAATGCAATCCCTCTCCTTATCCCTGTGCGTTACTTTCTCATCAGAAATTGTGACACCTACGGGGGGTACGGCGTGTACACGTGCAGCAACGTGGCCCTTGTTTATTAACTTCCCCCTTATTCCGTTGTCTTTTTTTGTTGCAAGAAACGGTGATGTTTTCGCAGGAGAATATTTCCGCGACGCCACACACGGGTACGGCGTGTACACGTTCAGCTACGTGCTTCTGATACTAGCTCTCCCACCCCTTATTCCTGTAACTCTTTTGTTACCAGGAATGGCAACACCTACGCAGGGTAGTATTTCTGCGACGCCATGCACAAGTACGGCGTGTACGCATTCAGCAACGTACGTTGTCTGATCTTCCCTTCCTCTCCTCTCTATCCTTCCCACCCTCCAGAAACGGCGATGTGTACGCGGGGGAGTATTTCCGTGACGCCATGCATGGGTACGGTGTGTACACGTTCAGCAACGGGCAGAGCTACGAGGGCGCGTGGCACGACGGGTGCAAGCAGGGGCTGGGCCGATACACCTTCCGCAATGGAGAATCCCTCATGGGCCACTGGCACCTGGGAGCGCTGCTCACACGCTGCTGTGATACTAGCACTGCATCTGCTGCCCCCTCTGCCACCGCTACTGCTGTTGCCGGCTCGGTTCCATCAGCTCCTTCTGCCGACTCTGCTGGATCTTCTGAGTCTGTGTTTGATGCGGTGTCTGACTCACTTTTGGACTGCGGCAGCTGGAGTGGGTCTTCAAGCCCGTTGCCACCGTCAGCCTTCTCATCAGTAGTATCATCACCATCATTATCAGCAGCAACGTCACCATCAGCGATGGCATCGCCGTGTGGAGCCACAGCGGGCCAGTCCCCGGTCAATGGGCGCCCTTTGGTGGACCCTGCTAAAGTCCTAGCAGCTGTTGAGGTGAGCAGGCGGCTTGTGAATCTGGCCGTTCATCTTTCACTAGCCTCTTTTTCTCCCTGGATACTGTGTTGCGTTATGCTGTTTTCTGCCTTGCACGTTGTTCCATGGCAAATTTTTTCTCATTACTCAGCTCTTACCCTGTCGTTGTCTCCCCCTGGCTTGACTTGCAGGCTGCCAGGAGGGCAAAGAAGAGAGCAGAAACACTGTCAGGTTCAGATGAGAGTTTGTCTGAAGTGGTGGCTGCAGCCAATCAGGCGGCTGCTACTGCCAGGGAAGTAGCGGCAGAAGCAAGGGCGTTGGGGCCTCGGCCTGAAACCAAGAGTGACTTGCAAAGCAGGTCAAAATTCATTCTATGATTCATTAGAATTTCCAATTTGTTTCACTAATATTTTTCTGTATGTAAATTGGTTGATAGTATGTTGAAGCCAAGGACCGTTTGGTCAGTCCATGTGCATATCAATAGGAAATGCGATGAGATGCATACGATGTGCAACACACATCAAAGGCAAGCTAAAGCAAAACTCTAAGTTTTGGTATATATTGTCTAACTTGAATCGAATAAGAGCCACACTGTTCCAGCGTCATATTTAGGCAGTCCCGTGAATCCATTTACTTTGTCTGCTTCGAGCCACATACTTCGTGTGGCGAGGAACTAGGCTTGCATGGACAAGCACAGCAGTTTTTTTTCAGGGAGAAGCCATCACAGCCAAGGCTGCTTGCCTGTGACCGCGGCGCATTGACCGACTTGTAGAGAGAATTGATCTTCTCCTATCACATCGTCACGTACTGTTGCGCGCTGACTCTGCGATTGCAGTTCATCGAGTGCAAAGTTCCCGAGGCGCCTTAGAAGTCCGTTGCGTTCCGAGTCTTCACTTGCCGTTCCCCAAGCGTACAATTTTGTCGCACTTCGCCGAGCCGGACGCTATTTTCCGTCGAATTTTGACGGACCCTGATCGCGGTGCATTTGTTCCGTCAGGCAGCCGTCAAATTCAGAGTATTCTGATTCGATCGCTAGTCATGAAGCTCACTGACGGCATGGCAGCGCTGGTCACGGGAGCTGGCTCGGGAATAGGTACGCATACGGACTACTCTGTGCGTTTCTGAGCGTAATATTTCAATCGCTGCCGGTCATGAAGCTCACTGACGGCATGGCAGCGCTGGTCACGGGAGCTGGCTCGGGAATAGGTACGCATACGGATTACTCTGTGCGTTTCTGAGCGTAATATTTCAATCGCTGCCGGTCATGAAGCTCACTGACGGCATGGCAGCGCTGGTCACGGGAGGTTGCTCGGGAATCGGTACGTACGCATACGTTTACTCGGTGCAATTGTGACTCGTTGAGTCGGCTGAAAGGAGTATTTTGTGCAGATTCGTCCCAGTTACACTGTTCATAATTGCAGAGGTATATCATACGAGGCAGGCAAGCTAGTTTGCGCGAAATGGCTCACTCGCAATGCAAGTTGAACCGTGTTTTGTCTTCTCTCTCTTCTCTTATCTTCTCTCTCTTCTCTTATCTTCTCTCTCTTCTCGTCAGTATCTTCGACAATGTTCAGCTTATCATGCGATTCATTGGATGAAGGACAGACATCATCATGCCTGCAGATTTGACTTTTGAGTCGACTCAAAAGTCATGCGATTCATTGAATGAGTGACAGGCGTCATGAAGCCTTCAGATTTGAATGAATCCTTCCAATTACTTACTAGGTGACTTTACTTACTAGGTGACTTTACTTCCAAAGTCACCCAATTACTTACTCGTGTTGCACAAATGTTAATTCTATGCTCTCTGATTTTCTATAATCCTCTTCATCATTTGCTTCTCAGGCCGAGCAGTTTCTCAGTACCTGGCGCCCAAGGGCCTGCAGGTGACCGTTGTAGATTTCTCAGAGGCAAACGGGCTGGAAACGGTGCAGCTGATTGGGGAGATCTTCTATTGTCTAAAGAATCCTTTTTTCCTCTTCCTCCTCTCTTTCGTCAGGACGAGCAGCTTCCCAGTTCCTGGCAGCCAAGGGGCTGCGGGTGACTGTTGTTGATTTCTCAGAGGCAGGCGGGTTGGAAACGGTGCGGCTGATTGGAGAGCAGACGGGGAGGCGAGATGCCGCGAGATTCGTCCAGTGTGACGTCAGCAAGCCTTGTAAGAAACGTCTGGCACAAGAATGGGCTCTTATCTACACCTATTGCATGTACCGAATTCCGTTTATAAGGTGTAAGTGACCAAAATGTGTTCTTTCTGTATTCTCCTTAGTTCCTCCTTGCTGGCCTTTCTCTCTCTCCAGACCTGTCCCACCCATTTGCCTCGCACATCCTATGATGTGACCATGTTTACGTCTGTCTCAACAGCACGAGCATAGAGGAGGGAGATTGGTCCCTTCTTGTGCTCCTTCCTCATTCCATCCTTCAGTCCGCCCTCCCACTTCATCTTTACTCCTCTCGTTGCTTTCCCTCCCGTTCTCTTTTCCTCCTATCCACTTTCCGTCCACCAACTCCCCAGCTGATTTGGCCCGTGCATTTGCCTCGCACATGCAATGGTGCGCCTTGTTTTGAGTCGACTCAAAACCACTTCATCTTTACTCCTCCCGTTGCTAACCCTCCCGTTCTCTTTTCCCCCTGTCCACTATCCGCCCATCCTCTCCCCAGCTGACCTGGCCCGTGCATTCGCCGTGCACATGCAATGGTGTGGCCGTCTCGATGTCTGCCTGAATAACTCGGCTATCGTTTATACCTCCAATTCATATCCATCCCATCCTCTCCCCAGCTGACCTGGCCCGTGCATTCGCCGTGCACATGCAATGGTGCGGCCGTCTCGATGTCTGCCTCAACAACGCAGGCATAGGCGAGAAAGAATGGTTCCTCAAGGACACGTCAGCAGACGGCAAGGGCTCCTGGCGCCACGTGTTGGACGTCAATTTGAGAGCTGTTATTGACGGCACTCGCCTTGCTGTAGGTTTCCTCTCGCTCTCCACCTCTTCCCATCCCTGTGAATGAGAGTGTTTCGAGACATAACAGAGCCACGTGAAAGAATACCAGTGTTGAGACGTTCACGTCTGACTGAACGATGTGAGCACTGATTGCTGTGAGTGTTGGAGACATTGCTGTAACCTCACTCCAGCACTGCACAAATGTGTGAACTCACTGCTGTAAACACACTCACTTTGTGCTGTAACCTCACTCTCCGCTTTCCGTTCAAATTGCCTCTCCTTATTGGCTACTACGTTCGCATACTTACGGCACATGTCTGAACACTTTCCGGAGGTTCCGAGGGCTTTTGATGCCAAGAGGGCTTTTGATGCCAAGAGGGCTTTTGATGCCAAGTCTTCTCACTCCTTTCGCCCTCATCCTTCACGCCTGCTGTTGCGCTCTTTGCACCCTGCCTCCTCTTCCACCCTGCCTCCTCTTCCACCCTGCCTCCTCTTCCACCCTGCCTCCTCTTCCACCCTGCCTCCTCTTCCACCCTGCCTCCTCTTCCACCCTGCCTCCTCTTCCACCCTGCCTCCTCTTCCACCCTGCCTCCTCTTCCACCCTGCCTCCTCTTCCTCCCTGCCTCCTCTTCCACCCTGCCTCCTCTTCCACCCTGCCTCCTCTTCCTCCCTGCCTCCTCTTCCACCCTCCTCCTCTTCCTCCCTGCCTCCTCTTCCACCCTGCCTCCTCTTGCACCCTGCCTCCTCTTCCACCCTGCCTCCTCTTCCTCCCTGCCTCCTCTTCCACCCTGCCTCCTCTTGCACCCTGCCTCCTCTTCCACCCTGCCTCCTCTTCCACCCTGCCTCCTCTTGCACCCTGCCTCCTCTTCCACCCTGCCTCCTCTTGCACCCTGCCTCCTCTTGCACCCTGCCTCCTCTTGCACCCTGCCTCCTCTTGCACCCTGCCTCCTCCTGCCCTTTGACCCCAGGTGCACGCAATGCAGCTGTCTGGGAAAGGTAGCAAGGGCGGCCCGAGAGGCGTGATAGTGAACGTGGCATCGGCAGCAGGGCTGTACCCCTCACCTAATGGCCCCATTTATGCTGCATCCAAAGGTGACACCTGCTCGCTCGCTCCCTCTCTCCCTCCCTCCCTCCCTCTCTCCCTCCCTCCCTGCCTCTTGCTTCTCCTTCCTCATTCTTGGGCCGTGGTAGTGAACGTGGCATTGGCAGCAGAGCTGTACCCCTCGCCCAACGGTCCCAACCAACAGCCCCATTTATGCCGCATCCAAAGGTGACACCTGCTCGCTCGCTCCCTCCGCTCTCGCTCTCTCCCTCCTCTTCTCTTGCTTCTCGTTCCTCACTCACCAGTGGTGTGATAGTGAACGTGGCATCGGCAGCAGGGCTGTAGTCTGTACCCCTCGCCCAACGGTCCCATTTAAGCTGCATCCAAAGGAGAGACTTGCTTGTTCGCATTCCTGCTTCTCGCTTTCTCGCTCCCTCCTCTCTTGCTCTCTCCGTTCTTCTCTCCCTCTTGCTTCTCCTTTCCTCATTCTTGGGCCGTGGTTGTGAACGTGGCATCAGCAGCAGCAGGGCTGTACTCCTCGCCCAACGCCCCCATCTGCGCTGCATCCAAAGGTGCCGCCTGCTCGCTCGCTCCCTCCGCCTTGCATGCTTGCTCGCCCTCTCTTGCTCGCTAGCTCTTTTGCTGCTTCCTCCCTCTTTTTCTGCTTCCTCCTTCCTCATCCATGGCATCGCAGCAGGGCTGTATTCTTCACCTTGCAGACACGTCTATGCTGCATACAATGGTGACACCCTCCTCGTTCTTCTCATAGTCCGAGCCTGACAGCCATGTATCCTCCTGCATGTTTTCAGTTTGTGAAGTGACTTTTTGACTGTGTGCATGATGTGACTGCATGGGATGTCATTGTGCGTGATGTGACTGCATGCACAATGTGACTGTATGGAGCGCAGCTGGAGTGGTCATGTTCACACGTTCACTGGCTCATCTTGCAGGGAGTGGCATTCGCATCAATGCTCTTTGCCCTGAGGTAACCTCCTCCCCAACCCACCCCTTCCTCATTTGCTTGCTGTACACCATGCCGCCGTCTGGCATTCGCATTAATGCTCTCTGCCCTGAGGTAACTTCCATATGCTCCACACCCACATGCATCGCATACCCCACATGCATCACATGCCCCACATGCATCACATGCCCCACATGCATCACATGCCCCACATGCATCACATGCCCCACATGCATCACATGCCCCACATGACATGCATCGCATACCCCACATGCATCACATCACATGCCCCACATGCATCACATGCCCCACAGGCATCACATGCCCCACGTGCCCCACACGCCACACATGCCACACATGTTCCCCATGCAACACACGCTCCATGTATTCCTGCTCTCGTGTCTCTTACCTTGTCCTCTCCCCCTTCCTCCTCCCTTATTCCCTGCCTTGCCTCCCGCTTCATCGAAACCCCTCTGGTGACGCCGTCACAGGGCAATGTGTTGTTATAAATCTCCGTTTTATTTATGCTCAATGTAATCCTGCTCCCCATGTCTCCGCCTTCGTCGCATGCTTTGCCTCCTGGTTCATTGAAACCCCTCTGATAACGCCGGCCACAGGGCAGGCGGCGAAGGTGTATCTCCCATATTCCAACTTAATCCTGCTCCCCGTCCCCGTGACTCCTCCCTGTTCTCCCCCCTCGTCCCCTGCTGTGCCCCCAGTTCATTCAAACCCCTCTGGTGACCCAGATCACAGGGCAGGCGGCGAAGCATTTCCCCAAGGTGGTCGCCTCGCTAGGGGGCTTCATTCCGATGGAAACCATAATGGATGGTGCGTGGGTGCGTGGAGGGTCAGTGCGTGGGTGGGTGGTTCAGTGGGCGGGTTGGTGCATGGGTGGGTGGGTGGTTGGGGAAATTGTGTAATTCTGGTGTGAGCAAGCAGGATAGTGGGAGGGAGCTTTTTTCCGGTGTGTATTTTTGGTGCGTGGAATCAACTTCACAGTGTGGGGTCCGCGCTAGGGGCCTTCAATCCCCCATGTTGACCGTCATTGCCGATGGGTGAGTGGGTGGGTGAGTGGGTTTTGAGATTGTGGATTTGGCCGTGCCATCTGCGTTTTAACTTGCTCCAAGCTGATTCTTTCAGCAGTGGCTGATACATGGGAGGGGCACACACCTGTCACCTGCTAATCACAACTCCATTGTGTCCTTCCTTTCCTTGATACCTCCCTCCCTCCCCACCTCCGCAATCTACATGGAGAGTACCAACCACAACAGAGGCATAGCTGAGTTGATAGAGGACAATCAGGGGGGACCACGTCCATGTAGTGCCGACTCAACCGGCGGTAGCTGTAGATTACCAACCGGCTGGTGGCCGACTGACTATCAAACACACCTTCCACCTTCACACTGTGCATCACTACTTAACGCATGCATGCCCCCCAACCCTCCCGTTTTCCTGCTGGCATGGCCGGGTTGATAGAGGAACAGAAGAGGATGGGCAAGTGCATCGGATCAGCAACCCATACCATCTCCCCTCTCCCCTCTCCCCTCTCCCCTCTCCCCTCTCCCCTCTCCCCTCTCCCCTCTCCCCTCTCCCCTCTCCCCTCACCCACAGGCCTGGTGGAGTTGATCGAAGATGAGAGGAGGGCGGGCGAGTGCATGTGGATCACCCACCGGCTGGGCAAGCAGTGGTGGCCGACTGATGATCAAGCACCTCCCACCTCCACACCATGCATCACTTTTTAACGCATGCATGACCCCAACCACACGCCCCCTTCCCCTGCTTCTCACAGGCATAGCTGAGTTGATGGAGGACGAGAGGAGGGCGGGCGAGTGCATGTGGATCACCAACCGGCTGGGAAAGCAGTGGTGGCCGACTGAGGAGGAGAAGAGGCGCTACCTGGTGGCGGGCACACCTGGGGGAGGTGATAGTAAAGGGGGTGACAACAAAGGAAGTGCCAGCAAAAGTGATTCAAGAGGGGGTGATGCAAGTGGTGGTGGAGGGGCATTGGCGTTGGGTGCCATGCCACGTGCAAGAAGGGGTGCTGGTTTGGGGGCAGCTGGTGGTGAAGCTTCTGGGAAGCAGCGTGTGGGTGTGGCGAGTGGCCTGCCTTTGACTTTCCAGAAGCTGTGAGTTGTGAGGTGATGGGTGGTGATGGGTGGTGATGGGTGGTGATGGGTGAGGATGGGTGGTGATGGATGGTGGTGGGTGGTGATGGGTGGTGGTGGGTGGTGATGGGTGAGGATGGATGGTGATGGATGGTGGTGGGTGGTGATGGGTGGTGATGGGTGGTGATGGGTGAGGATGGGTGGTGATGGATGGTGGTGGGTGGTGATGGGTGGTGATGGGTGGTGATGGGTGAGGATGGATGGTGATGGATGGTGGTGGGTGGTGATGGGTGGTGGTGGGTGGTGATGGTGATGGGTGGTGATGGGTGGTGATGGGTGGTGATGGGTGGTGATGGGTGGTGATGGGTGGTGATGGGTGGTGATGGGTGGTGATGGGTGGTGATGGGTGGTGATGGGTGGTGATGGGTGGTGATGGATGGTTATGGGTGGTGATGGATGGTGATGGATGGTGATGAGTGGTGATGGGTGGTGATGGGTGGTGATGGATGCTAGGTTGGAACATACGCGTTTATCGTATATACGCGTTTCGTATATACGCTAGCGTTTACACGCTAAACGCTGGAGGGGTCTCATTGAGGATACGCTTTTTTGGGCAGGAAAAAAAAATTCCCGGGCAGGGTAAAAAACGCAGTCCTCAACATCGGGGAGGTATTCCCTGTTCGTTGGATTTTACTATGTCTGAACGGCGATTGGGGTGGGATGTGGAGTAGACACTATCGGTAGTAAGAATCGGAAGGATTGCAAGCGGGAATGTAAACTAGAATGACCAGTGGAGTTTTGCTGCCTGGTAAATAGCGTGAGTGGGGTTTGTTGGGGGACAGTTTTGAGAGGTTGGAGTTCGTAGATGAGATGGGTTTCAATGCGGTACTAAACGAATGTTCAATTTTGAACTCCTGCAATCTTCAAAGGCATATTCCCGCTACCCTATACCATCGAATTGCATTCCGACTTCGGCGAAATGCTCAGCAGGAGATTCCGGATCTTTCTGTATACACACGATTTTTTTTCCGGGCAGCCCCTAAAACATTCTGGCTGCGTATAGCATACTAGCTAGCGTATCGCGTTTTGCGTATACACGCTAGCGTATGAATGCTGTACGCTTTAGGGTCTGAGCGTATATTCCAGCTTAGGATGGACGTTGATGAGTGGTTGGTGGGTGGTGATGTCTGCTGGTCAACCAAGTCAAACAGGTCAACCAGGGTCAACCAATCCTCTTATCCAATACTCTCGCCCCTCCCTCCCCTCCTCCTGCCAGTGTGGTGCAGCGCCTCTCTTCAGACTTCAGGCAAGCGACCAGCATCATCGAGGCACCACTGCCACTGCCCGTGCCGGCAGGGAAGGTGCTGCTGCGAGTGCGATACGCGGGGGTGAACGCCAGCGATGTGAGTGCTGCTTGCTTCCTTTGCTTCCTGCGTTTCTCTTGCAAATAAAATGTTCTATCAGCAAGAAGGGTGCTGCTGCGAGTGCGATATGCGGGAGTCAATGCCAGCGATGTGAGTGACTCTTCTGTTTCTGCTGCTGAAGGTTCTGGGAAAGCGTTGCGAAGGCGTTGGGGAGGTGCTGGGAAGGCGTTGGGAAGATGTTGGGGAGGTGCTGCTGCCATTTATTTCCTTCATAAATTCCCGCAAACCTACTGTCCTGTCATCGCCCCCTCCTTCCCTAATCACCCCCACCAATCCTCAGGTCAACTACTCAGCCGGCCGCTACGCAGGCAGCCCAGCAGAAGCATCCCAGCAGCTTCCCTTCGACGCAGGCTTCGAGGCAGTGGGGGAGATCGTCGCACTACCAGGCAGCACCACAGCTGGGTTTTTGGAAACAAGGAGCAAAGGGGGCCTGGCTGTGGGGCAGGCAGCAGCAGCGCTGGCGTATGGTGCATTCGCTGAGTATATGCTGGTTGATGCGCGATGGGTCATTCCTGTGCCTGATTGTTCCCCGCAAATGGTGGCTCTGCTGACCAGTGGGCTCACTGCCTCCATCGCTCTATCTGAGGTATGCACCTCTTTTCCCCATTGGGGCAGGCATTGACTGTCATGTTCTTGCATATGCGTATGGTGCATTCGCTGAGTACATGCTGGTTGATGCCCGATGGGTGATCCCTGTGCCTGGTCAAATGGTGAGACCAGCGGCCTCACTGCCTCCATCGCTCTAGCCGAGGTACGCACCTCCTTTCCCCTCTGGGGCAGGTATTGATTGTCATGGCCTTGCATATGTGTACGGCGCATTTGCTGCATTCGCTGAGTATATGTTGGTGGATGCCCAGTGAGTCATTTGTGTGCCTGACTGCTCGCCGACAAGGGGACAAGAGAGCAGGCAGAGAAGCAGAAGAGAAGCGGAAACGAGGTGACAAGAGATCAGGCAGAGCTGAGGAAAGGAAGTGGGAACATGGGGATGACAAAAGAGCGGAGTAAGAAGCAAAAATGAAGTGGAAACGGGGGATGACAAGGGAGCAGGTGGAGAAGCGGAAAAAAAAAAGTGACTACGCCGCCTTCCCCTTCACCTCTCCTCTCAGCTGGGCATTTGCCGCCTAGCTCTCCTCCAATTGCTGCACGGGGGTCGCCAGTCTGGCTGCCAGCTCGTTCCGCTTTTCAGACGAGCGGAGATTCAACGTCGTGATCTAGCAGAGATAACGCGCGGGGTGGGGAGTAGAGGAGAAGGGAGATGCATGGGGACGTGAGACGTGAAGGGGGGTGGGAGAAGTAGCCAGAGAAGATGGGGTTGAAATAGTTTCAGATACTGGTGTGCAACTTTTATTACGTAAAGTTATAACAGTCGCACACCAGTATCTGAACTGTTTCAACCCTATCCTCTCTTGTTATTTCTCCCTTCTCCCACTCACGTGCTCACGTTCGCGTGCATCTCTCTTCTCCCCTACTCCCCGCCTCACGCTTTTGTTCTGTCTGCCATATCAAGGCGTTGAATCTGCGCTCGTCAGAAGAGCGGGACGGGCTGGCAGCCAGGCTGGCGACCGTTGTGCAGCTATTGGAAGAGAGTTAGGTGGCAAATGCCCAGCTAAAAGAGGAGGTAAAGGGGAAGGTGGCGCAATCACTTGTGTTTTTGCGTCTTTTCCTGCTCTCTTGTCATCCCCCTGTTTCCACTCCTTTTCCTCTGCTCTGCCTGCTTTCTTGTCCCCCTGTTTCCATTTCTTTTCCTCTTCTCTGCCTGCTCTCTTGTCACCCCTTTTCCACATCTTCTCCTCTTCTTTGCCTGCTCTCTTATCCCCCATTTTCCACTTCTTTTCCTCTTTTCTGTCTGCTCTCCTCCTCCTGTTTCCACTTCTTTTTCGAAGTTTATATCTGAGACATCTAAAAATTAACCACCCCCCTTCCCACTCTCAGATCAGGTGCATGGCGGCCAGCCACAAGACTATGCCAAATGAGTATCAGCACCATATTTTGATGCCTCTGATTTTGCCACGTCTGATTGAGAATTTTGGAAGCTACCCTGCTATTCCCGACTCTTTTCCCCCCAACCCTCCCTTATTACAGTCGGGGCGCATGGGTAGTGGAGAGACGGTGCTGGTGACAGCAGCAGCAGGAGGGACGGGCCAGTTTGCAGTGCAGGTGAGGGATCAGTGAGCAGCAGCCACTAGGGGTATGAGCAGTAATTTTTCACTAAGCATTGAGCATGCAACTTCCTCCCACCGGTCTTTCTCAGTTCCTATTTCAGTTCTTTCGCTATTTTTTTTGAATCACACATCATTTCCTGCTGTTTTGAAGTATACATGCTGTGTGCGTGCGTGAGTGCGTGTGTAGGGGTGTGTGTGTGTGTGTGTGTGTGTGTGTGTGTGTGTGTGCGTGTGTGTGTGCGTGTAAACATCATACTCTCTTCTGCATCTTATTCTGCTCAACATCCTCTTCCTCCCCCGTCCCCCCATACGCCAGTTGGCGAAGCTGGCAGGCAATAGGGTGGTGGCGACATGTGCCAGTGAGAGCAAGGCAGCAGTGCTGATGATCTGAACTGCTCGTTTTGCTCATTATTCTCACCCACTCCTCCCCCCCACATAATCGTCTCCACTCACCAGTTGGCAATGCTGGCAGGCAACAGGGTGGTGGCGACATGCGGCAGTGGGAGCAAGGCAGCAGCATTGATAATCTTAACTTCTCTCTTTCTGCCCCGTTCTGCTCAATAACCTCTCCCGCTCCTTCTCCCCACCCCCTCAACTTCCCGCCCATTGTATATGCACCAGTTGGCGAAGCTGGCAGGAAACAGGGTTGTAGCGACATGTGGCAGTGAGAGCAAGGCAGCAGTGCTGAGGGAGCTTGGGGCAGATGTGGTGGTTAACCACCGGACAGAGAAGGATATGGCCAAGGTGAGACAGAGCGAATGCAGCAGGTGGAAAGTTGAGGGGCCTTGGAGCAGATGTGGTTGTTAACCACCGGACAGAGAAAGATACGGCCAGGGTGAGTGGAATTTGAGTTGCCTAAGGCTTATATTAGGTGGTTAACCACCGGAAAGAACAAGGATATGGCCAAGGTGCAATTAAATTTCACAATGCAGTTGGTGCATTGCTGAGGGACCTTGGAGCGGATGTGGTGGTCAATCAGGAGAGTGGACATGGCCACCCCAGATACAGAGAAAGACATGGCCAGGGACAGTGGACTTTTCTATTGGCTTTTGAAGCGCAGCAGGGTTGACTTTCTGATTTGTGAGGAGGCAATATGTCCACTCTTTGTTTCCCAATTTCCTCTTGTTTTTCTTCTCTTTATTTTCCCTCCTGGCCACTTTCTTATGTTCCTATCCTTCCTCTCTCCGTCCTCCTCCCGTCGCAGGCACTGAAGAAAGCATGTGGGCCGCAGGGAGCAGCAGTGGTGTTCGAATCCGTGGGAGGAGATATGTTCGCAGCTGCACTGAAGGCGCTCGGCCGATTTGGGAGGCTTATTGTGATTGGCATGATGTCTCAGGTATGTGTGATGGGTGTAGGAAGATGTCTGGAAGTATTTTTTAGAGAGCCACTTGGTACACAAAACTCGGACATTGGAGGTTTATAAGGTCATTGTTGTGAGTGTGACTTCCTTCTGTTTTGCTACTCATGGTTTATACCATTCCTTCCATTATCACTTGTGAATTGCTGGCCAGGTGGCATGCTGTAGCAGGAACGCAAGTAATGATAATGTTCCTGTGATCTAGTGAGTAAGTTGAAGTAAATGTTTGACTGCCCCCCTTAGTAACGCCTACCCATGTGCCCCACCCACACTTCCCATGGAGGACACATGCACAGCAGCAGGGCAGGAGGGCGGGCAAAGCTCATCTAGAAGATGAAATTATGGTAACTCACTGCACACTCTTCCTTCTACTGTGGTCCACCTGTCTTCCGACCTGCCTCTCCCACACTCCCCATGCAGTACACAGCGGGGCAGGAGGGGCAGTGGGTGAGCAAGGCCTATCCTGGTCTGTGTGAGCGTCTACTGTCCAACTCTCAGACTTTGGTACGTGATGGGTGCTAATGCGTTTTGGGGTGACTTTTGAGTTGACTCAAAAGCTATCTTGGAAAGGAGGGGCAGTGGGCAAGCAAGGCGTATCCTGGCAACTTTTGAGGCGCCTCAAAAGTCGTATCCTGGCATGTGTGAGCTCCTGCTCTCCAACTCCCAGACACTGATGGGTGCTGGGTGTTAATGTGTCTGGGTGCTGGTTATCAAGTTTAATCAGACATTATCGCAGGCAACAGGGGCAGTCAGATTGACGAATGCCCTTTGGATTGAGCCAAGGTTCTCCACCCTGCCTCTACTCGCTTGTATCCCCACCAAGATTCGGGTTATAATTCCTGAGTACCTCTTCTAGCACTTGGAAGCTATATTGAGTTGTTTTGAAGCAAACCTGTTCATTCACCTGTCTGATACTGAAGAGCACGATGGAGTGAGACTAGCTGCTGCTGTCACACTCAGTTCTCCCTTTCCCGGTGTTGGCCCCCCGCCTTCTTCCCAACCGCATCCGTTTCCCGCTCTTCTCCCTCTTCTGCACCCTCGAACCCCCAGGTCGGCTTTTTCCTGCTGCACTACCCACAGCTGTGGCGCTCCCATTTCACCAAGCTGGTCACCCTGTACCAAGCAGGCCTGCTCAAGGTGCGATGGATAGGGCAGTAGCGGGGTTGATGGGGGCTTATTTTCTTTCTGTCAAGCTGTCTATCTTCGAGAATTCTCTAAAGGCAGCTCGTTCTTTGGAGTTCTCAACAACTGATAGTAGCGGGGGCGATGGGGGCTGCTTCTCTTTGTTCTGAGCTCATTCCCGTCTTCCTCTCTCTCTCTCTCGTGTTATGCTTGTTGTGGATGTTAAGACATGCTATACCTCCCATCTCATATGATGCGCCCTCGTCTCTCTCACGCGTCTCTCACACTCGGAGTCCTGAGATGTCTCAACAAAGCCTTCCCTCCCGCATCGTCACATGTGGGTCAAAATCCTGCATTCTATAGGCGCCTCATTATTCGTATTGAAACTTTCGTCCCACCTAACCGCAGGTGGCTCTGGATCCGACGCCGTTCAAGGGCCTGCCTGCAGTGACGTCAGCAGTGGAGCACCTGCAATCTGGGAGCAGCGTGGGCAAGGTGGGTGCGGTAACCGGGTGAAGTTGAAGTTAAAAATTCTGATACGAGCTAATGAAATGTACCCTCAGTGATGTGCGGTTCGCTTTTCCAATTCCTCGCTTTGTGATTGTGTCATGTCCTTCCCTTGGTCGACTTGTTTCTTTTCAGGTTGTGGTAGAGATAAGTCCAAGTGGGAATGTGTCACCTTCACCTCGCCTTTGATTCTGGCTGGTGATGTTGGAGCACAAAATTTCCCGTCGACGTACTTGCGTCTTATACAGCAATGATGTCTCTGTTTTGTGCGAGGTTGCTTGCAACATATGGCATGGCTGAGCTACAAAAGACGGTAATGAACCTTGTATCGGATTCATCTGAACACGAATTCCTGTCAGACATTCCCGCCAATCTCATCACATTCCCCAGCCGCGTCAGCTCGTGTCATTGACGTCATCCAACTCCCTAGATGCTTCCTACCAGCTTTCGATGGTTCGTACTCCCAGGGTCGTATTCATTTGTTTTTCTAATGAGGAAACTCGGAAACTCTTGTAACCGATTTGTTAGTGGTGGTGACGGACACTTGCTCCCTTACTTGGTCAGAGTGGAAATACATTTCGCTGCTCGTGCGGTCGTCAATCTTCGTGATAGCCTGTTTCGGACTCAAAGACCACATGTCTTTCACCTTGACTTTTGATTAGCGACATGACGAGGAACAGTTTCGGTTACCCAATATAATTGCGCCCATCAGAATGGGTGCTAAGACCGAAGACTCCATGAATATCTTTCCTGAGCACCACCAACCTTCCCCCTGTCTGGCTCCTTGCAGATGAACCACCACGCTGGTAGATTTGGTTGAACCCTTGGGATGTGACGCAAGGCGTTGTACGAAGAAGATCTGCACGCACCAAGCAGCAATGCAGCCGCAAAAACAATTCGGCGAGCTTCAATGAACTCTAGGGACGACAATCGAGCGTAGCAGAGAGATAAGTGGGAATGTTGTTGTAAATGCGGATCTTCTGGATCTCTTTGTTCTGAATCCGAGAGTGTTAGACGCTGTGGTAGCATGGACGACTGACGACCTCTTTAGACTCGCGAAAAGGTATCGAAGTAATCAAGACGAGTAGCTTCTTGCCGTCGCGATCTTCCGTTTCGTTCAGACAGCTGTCATTACTGAGTGGTTCACAACGGCATTGGTGGTATGTGAGAAACCCTTTCCTTGTACAGTCACTGAAGTCACACATTTGGCATGTGAGCTCGCTACCGTGACAGATTCACAAACTCAGGCATTGTCGTTTCCCAATCTAACGATTTCTGCATTCTTGTCGAAGCTTCTCGCTCCCTCCGGGTACCAATCCGACTTAGAATCGCTATCTGAACCTTGTTCACCTCATTATTCCCCACTTCTTTCCACCTCATCATTTCCCACTTCGTTTATCCTCAAGGTCGTACGTCCAGATCATATGGGATTTAGGTATCCATATTAGCACACACCGTGTCCGGATAATATAGGATTTAGGTATTTATATTAGCACACACCGTGTCCGGATCCTTCGCCAGCATTTATGTAAATAGCAGCAGGGTCGCATTTTGGGTTACATTCTGAATTACATCCAGGTTTACACTTTGGACTGGACAGGACCTGAGGGTCATTTATTCGGATGCGACACACTCTGAACGCTTCGAGCAGCAGATGGTGTGCGCAGTTAGAAGGAGTTGAGTGCAGTTGGCAGGAGTTAGGCAGCCCAAACCAACCAGTGAATGTGAGATATGAAATTTAAATGGTAGCAGCTGCTGCAAGCAGAAAAATTGCTCAAGCTGGTGAAGACAGCAGGTGGTAGCAGCTGGAGAACGCTGGAAACTTGCTGAATTTGGTGGGAACATCAGTCAAACCAGCAGCGGGCAGGCAGGCAAGCAGACACGCAGACAGAAAGGCAGAGGCAAAGAGGCAAGCTAAGCAAAGCAGAGATGATATTCGGGAAGCGCAAGGACGACAAGGGGTTTGACATCGAGTTCAGCAGCGATGACATCTCGTCCATCCACACGGCGCACTCCAGCTCGGGGAAATTCCTTGACAAGTACAGGTGGGGACAGAAAGTGCGAGCGGCGTGCCTTTGCTGTGTGTTCCACATCTCGTCTCGTCCATCCACATGCAGCACTCCAGCTCGGGGAAATTCCTCGACAAGTACAGGTGGCCGCACAGCACAGAGAATTACAGGTGTGCGTGCGCGGGTATGCATGCTGCTGCTGTGTGCCCCTCGTCTCATCTCGTCCATCCACACGGCTCACTCCAGCTCGGGGAAATTCCTCGATAAGTACAGGTGCGGATGGTGGTGTGAGTGTATGTGTGCGTGCATGGGTACACGCATGCTGCTGCTGTGTGTTCCTCATCTCATCTCGTCCATCCACACGGCGCAATCCAGCTCGGGCAGATTCCTGGATGGGTGTGGGTGGGTGTGGGGGGTCGAGTGTGTAAGTGGGGAATTTTCTGTGCGCAGTGTGTAAGTGAAGGGGTTGATTGTGCGGGGCGTGCTGCAAGAACACATTCTTGCAGCATGCCCAACGCTGCAAGAACACATTCTTGCAGCATGCCCAACGCTGCAAGAACACATTCCCCCACCTTCCTGCGGTCTCTCCGACATGGAGGCAACGCTGCAAGAGGTGGTACATACGTTACACACGTATACCTGTCTCCTTGATGGCGAAGCCGCGAAACAGCTCCTTGCTCATACGTGTCTCTCCCCTTTCTGATAATATACCTGTTTCGAGGCGTATCTAAACTTTGTTTTTATTATCACGTGGCCTGAGAGGCAGCGGGTTGGCCTGACTGCATTTCTCATGTGTGTCTCTCCCCCTCCCCTCTTCTCCAGTCTATCCGACATGGAGGCAATGTTGCAAGAGTTGGGGGTGATGGCGAAGCTGAGGAAGAGAGGCCACCACGCGGTGAACATAGAGCTGGATCTTACAGACCCCTTTGTGCACAAGGTGCGTTGAATGAGCAACAAAGTGCGTTGGATGGGCCACAAAGTGCGTTGGATGGGCCTAGCGCAGGAGCAAGGGTGCAATTGATGAAGAGGGGCCACCACGCGGTGAACATAGAGCTGGATCTCACAGACCCTTTTGTGCACAAGGTGGGTTGGATGGGTCCACCAAGTGCCATAAGGTGCGGTTCTCATAGCATACAACACTCGACTCATGACACCACGCCGTGACCATAGAGCTGGATCTCACAGACCCTTTTGTGCACAAGGTACATTGCACTCAGACGATTAGATGCAAGAGTGTGCATCGCGCATCCCACGTACCTCCCCTTTTTTTCTGCCTTCCTCGCGTGCTCTTCAAGCTCTCCCTCTTCACGCCCTTGGGTGTCTCTTCGGGGCCTTCATCGACAGATGCTCTGGACCACTCCAGCAGCCTTTGGGGCCATTGTGTGATTCTGCACTGCGAATTCTCACTTCGCCCCACCCCTCAATCAATCCTCTATTTGGGAGTCACTTTCGAAATTTCTTAAAAGTCTTCAAGGCCTCTGTGTGATTGTGCACTGCGACTTTTCAATCTTCCGCACCACTCCACTAAATCCCCCCGCCCAGCTTGATTCCCCTTGAACCCCTCCCCCCCATCAGATGCTCTGGACCACCCCAGCAGCCCCTGAGCCTCTCTGCGGGAATGTGCTGTGCATTGAACATCGTCACATCCCCTTCTCTATTCCCTTACCCCTTTCAGATGCTCTGGACCACCCCAGCAGCCCCTGAGCCTCTCTGCGGGAATGTGCTGTGCATTGAACATCGTCACATCCCCTTCTCTATTCCCTTACCCCTTTCAGATGCTCTGGACCACCCCAGCAGCCCCTGAGCCTCTCTGCGAGTGCGCCCTGCGAATCCTCACATCTACCTCCCTGCTGCATGTGAGTGTGCTTGCTTCCATCGATTCATATGTGTGCTAGATTTATGTGGTCTTGTTTCCCTCAATCTACATTCCATGCTGCATGTGAGTGCTCTCTGCTGCTGGTTCCGCTCAAGCTGCTGCTGTTAATTCTTTCTGTGCTCTTGACTCCTTCCTCTCCTTGCTTTCCCCCGCAGGCTGTGAGGCCAAGCGAGGTGATAGGCGAGGGGGCAGCAGTGCTCAAGGCGTGGGAGAGTGGCTTGGGCGAGTACCATCCGCTCAAGCTGCTGCTGGTGGACTGGCTGCTGCTTCAGGACCCTCTGGCGCCCTGTGATGGTGAGAACAGAAAGCACTGGCTGTGGTGCGGCTTATCTGTCTATCAGGAAAGAACATTGTCACTCAAGCTGCTCTGCCTGCTCTGCCTGCTCTCACTGCTCTGCCTGCTCAAGCTGCTCAAGCTGCTGCTGGTGGAGTGGCTGCTGCTGCAGGTCCCCCTGGCGCCCTGCAATGGTGAGAGCAGTAAGATGAGAGCTTTTCCTCTTCGCCATTCCACCTGTTATGCTTCCACTTCCTCCGTCACCTCCTAGCTACGCTTCAGCTGTGGTTGGCTCCTGTTCTGCCCCTCTTCCCAACCCATCCCTAATTCCCCACAGAAACCTTGCTGCCTGGCCAACACATGCCAGGTCTCGGGGTTGCGATCGAATTTGGCAACTTGCTCTATCGCATGGTGAGTCATATCATATCGTATGGTGAGTCATATCCTATCGTATGGTGAGTCATATCCTATCGCATGGTGAGTCATATCATATCGTATGGTGGGTCATATCATATCGCATGGTGAGTCGTATCATATCGCATGGTGAGTCATATCATATCACATCGTGAGTCATATTATATTGCATCATGGATCCACGGTGAATATTCCGAATGGGATATTTTACTCTCTGAATCGTGTGTGGCATTGTTTGCGTGGTATGCACTGTGACTGTGTTGAGCTTGTGGCTGCTACCCTCGTGTGCATGTTACCCTCGTGTGCCTGCTATAGGATGTCTACTTACTGCATCACACGTCACATGCCACGTGGCACATCCCACACGTATCTTTCCCCATGCCTCAGGCCGCATCTCCCCTTTCCCATCCCTCACCCCTCACTAGGCACAGCCGCACAGGAGGGCAAGTTCGATGCAGTGGTGAACCGCCCCCTGCTCTTCCTTCCACAATGCATTGGTGAACCGTGAACCGCTCCACACCACACGCACCATACACCCCATGCTTCACGCCCCTCAGCACACCTTTCATTCCCCATGCCTCCTACCAGGCGCAGGAGGGCGAGTTTGACGCGGTGGTGAATCGTCCCCTGCACTTCCACAATGCGGTCATGTACGCCCCCACTGGCAACCGCTTCCTCAACCCGCAGGTGAGTCAGGCAGACAATATGTGAGCGCTTGGAAGCTCGTTGCGACTCACCCCACAAGGCACTTGCACAACGCAGTCGTGTACGCGCCCACTGGCAACCGCTTCCTCAACCCGCAGGTGAGTGGGTGAGATGCTATGTGGTTTCGTGAAGCTTCCGGTAATTCTGACTGCATCGATGCACGGCTTCACACTTCGTCCTTCATTGTTATTTCGTGCCCCTAACAATCAAAGTCCGCACTACCCCTATCCACACACCCTTATCCACATGCCATACCAAGGTGGAGGCGCGTTTTCGGGGTGCCGGTGCAGGACATGGAGGCCACGTGCTGCTGGCAAAGCCACTTACCCCATCCATCCCCATGCGCATCCCCATGCATGCGCATCCCAATGCGCATCCCCATGCCGATTCCCATGCGCATGCATACGCCCATGCCCATCCACGTCCCCATGCCAAGGTGGAGGCACGGTTTCGAGTGCTGGTGCGTGACATGGAGGCCCATGTGCTGGCAAAGCCCCTTGCGCCACCCCCATCCCCAACCTCCTCATGCCCATCCCCATCCTCATCCCCGTCCCCACGCCCATGCCCACCTTTATCCGCATGCCCATCCTAAGGTGGAAGCGCGTTTTCGAGTACTGGTGCGGGACATGGAGGCTGATGTGCTGGCAAAGTCGCTTGCTGACGTGTCACACACCATTCAGTGTGCTGTGAGTGCCGAGGCCCCGTTTTCTGCTTCCTCCTCCTCTGCTCTCTTTTTTTTCTTATCATTATCGTCCAACCTCCTCTGTCTCAGAGTTGCTTCTGAGAATTCTCAAATGCAACTGTAACATATGCTTCTTCCTCCTCTGTTCATTTATTGGCACCCTGTCGTTGCATCATGTCATTCCCCATGCGTCACCTCCGACGAGTCAACAGCCACCCTCTCGTTCCCTGTGTTGTGCTGCTGCCTTGGAGCGGACACTACCCCTGTTGCCACCTGTGACGCTACCCTTATTGTTCACTTGTTGGTTGGCATCCTGTCATTCCCGATACTGTCACCTCAGGGACTGCGACTCGCGATTCCAACCACAACTGGTGGAACCAACACCACCAGCAGCACCACCGCCACCAGCACCACCAGCACCACCAGCACCACCAGCATGCCAGATGCCACCTCCCCCGTCGCATCCTCAAACTCAGATGCCACCTCCCCCAGCAGCACGTTAGATACCACCTCCCCCAGGAGTCACGCGGTGAGAGTCATCACCTGGACGGCTGAGGAGCAGGCCAATCCCGTGTCAGACAGGTGAGGCACGCCTCGATACAAGTTTACACCTCTTTAATAGCCCGTTAGATACCACCTCCCCCAGGAGTCTCTCTGTGAGAGTCATCTCCTGGACAGCAGAGGAGCAGGCCAATCCCGTTTCAGAGAGGTGAGTGAAGGGACTGCTTTACACCTTTTTGCACCAAACCTGTTTGCACCTCTTCGCACCTGTTTGCACCGCTTTACACCTCTTTTCACCGCTTTGGGCTGACCAATGGCATGTCAGGAAGGTGAGAAGGGCCTGCCGTATGGTTACCACACCTTGTTGGCCATGATTGCCCTTCACATACCTGTGTCAAAGTGCTTCTGATACACTTTCAAGTGACTTTTGAGTTGACTCAAAAGTCACTCTGACACGATTTCATTGTGATAATGCTGGTTAATCCCAAATATGCCCGTGGAGTGATGGCAGGATGAAGGCCTTCCTGGCATCAGATTCCTACCTCTCATTGGTGCAGCGTGACTCACACGGAATAACAACCAATGAGCATCTGACACGTGCGCGCTCGATGCTGGTCAACGGCCGGCGCGTCTCGCTCAGCAGCAGCGGCAGGGAGCTGGGGAATGGGGGCAGTGGGAGGGAGCTGCTGGGGCATGGGAGCAGAGGGAGTGGGAGGGAAGCGAATGGTAGCATTGGGAGGGATGCAAATGGAAGCTGTGGGAGGGAGGGTAGTTGCAATGGCAGGGATATTGGGAACAACTGCAGCTGCCCCAGCTTGCAGAATCAGCAGGGCAATCCGTCCAATGCAGATACAGATGTGGATGTTTTGGCTGCTGGTGCTGGTAACCACGTTGAAGAGTTGAAGCCTATTTTTGGATTGGACTCGTTGGATGGGGTAGAGAGTCAGGAGGCGATAAAGAAGAGGATAGATGGGGGGGTGCCAGTATGGGAAGTGGTCATCTAAAGAGATTTATATGTTTCCGTTTTTTTTTTTTTTTTTTTTTTTGGTTTAATTTAGCACGTGAAGGCATCCTTTTGAGGTTTGCTCATGTATGAGGGACAAGCTTGTTAGAGATTGTAAGCACTTTCTATCAAAATCATCTGCTCTTCTATTTTCTCTAATGCATGTGTGTTTTATCTTCGTGCAAACTTCTGTAGAAACGTTGAAGTGAAGATTGTCAAATATCCAACTTGCGGCGAAACGAATCTCACCGAACCGGATTATAGTGACATCGCACGGCACACCTCCATTCCTTGCATCCTAGATCCTGGACCATACCCCCTATATCTCAACCTAGTCCGTGCCCTCGATCTCATTCCACCTAGGGTTCATGGTCCTTGCGTCGTCGCGTAACTTTCGATAGTATTTTCCCTGAAGGTATTTAATTTGATAGTATCTTATCTTCTTCCAGCGTCTGTACGATGAAGCCGAAGAAGCATAAGACGGAGGGAATCGCGCTGCTGTCGATGTACGCAGGAGACGACGACGACGACGACGAAATGGAAGAGGAGGAGGAGGAGGAAGAGGAGGAAGAGGAGGCGGAGACGCAGCAAGGGGGAGCGTCGGCGGAAAGGCGGAGCGGAAGCGGAAGCGGAGCGGAGGGAGGCCGTCCGGGGGATGACGGCGCGGCGGAAGGGGGAGAGCGAGCGATGCGATCGGGGGAAGCGGCGGAGCGATTGCGGGGGGCTGGGGGAGGCGCGTTGGGAATATTCGGTTACGGACATGACGCGGGGGACGATGAGGTAAGTCGCGGGCGGCGTTTCGTCGATTAGAGCTCCGTGCGCGTTGGTAGCCGAGCCGCGGATCAACAGTCAGGCCCTCTATACCAGGGTCTCGTTTTTTTAGAATTTGAGGAAATTATTAGAACTCAAGTGTACTTTCAGGGCATGTAATTTGCATTGGGATTTCGTGGCTCCATGATCTCATTTTTGCTCTCCCTTCCCCCCCAATACTCCCCTGTTCGTTCCCCTTCCCCCTCTTCCCCAACTGTGCTCTTCCGCCACGCTTGTCCCCCGCCTGCGCGTGCCTTCCGCGTCCCCGCTTTCCGCCATCTGTTCCGCTCCCCGCTTAGGTGCGCGTAGGAGGCGGAGGGGGAGGCGGATGAGCGGCGGGGCGGCGCCGAGACACAGCAAGAAGGTACTCTTTTCTATTGGTTGGAAGAAGGGGCTGCCATGCCTCCCTTGGTTGCAAATGCATGTCTATTGTTTCACATGTATACATATGTTTATGCATGTTTAGGTGTAATGTGTGTATGTATATGCGACCAACCAACCTGCTATTTTCTGCAGCATTACAATTCCCCATCTCCGTCTTTCTTGTTATCTGCGCTTGCCTTCTTCACTTCTCTCGCATGAGGCTACCTCTGCTTCACTTCTCTCTCTCAACCCCCCTGTGTATCGTCCATTTCTTCCTAGTCTCCCTTCTATTCCCACCTATATGCTATGTCCATTCCCATCCTCCTTCTCCTCTTCCTCTTGCATTGAGGTCGTTTTTGAGGCGCCTCAGAAACTTCCTAGTCTCCCTTCTATTCCCACCTATATGCTCTGACCTACATGCTTTTTGAGGCACCTATATGTTCTGTCCATTCCCCTCCTCCTTATTCTCTCCCTCTTCCCCTCGCGCTTTTCCTCCCTTCCGCCAGCCCTTCCCCTTCATTACCTCCCCCTGTTCCCTTTTTTCCCGCCTTCCTCCCCCCCCCCCCTCCCCCCTCCCCCCCTCCCCCCCCGCCCCTTACACCCCCTTCTCAGCCCCCAACCGTGCCACTCCAGGTTCGGTGCAAATCCTCTCTCCCCCCGTTGGCCGAACCACACCCACTGGAACAGGCACGGTTGGCCGGATCACTCCCCCCCCACCGGGCTCTTTGGACGGTGACGTGGCGGTTCTAGCAGCAGCCAATGGCGTTGCGCCACGTGGACTGCTGACGCCCCCTGTGAATGGGGCTATACAGGGGGAAGTGGGGGTTGAGGGGGACATGGAGGGGGAGAGGAGAGGAGGGGTGGATGCGGGGAGGGGTACAGAGGGGGGAATGGAGGGGCAAGGGGAGAAGGAGGAGGAGGAGGTAGAGGAGGCATTGAGAGGGTTTTTGCCGCCCCCACCACGAGAAAAGTGTTCCGAGCAGCTTCAGGTGTGAGAGTGGGAAGCCTGGGGGAGGGGGAGGAAACAGAGGAGGGAAGAGGGGGGAAATGGGAAGGGGGGACGTGAGGGGAGAGGAGGGAGAAGGCGTTGGAACTAGTTTGGAGAGTTGTTCTTTTTGAAACTGCTGAGAACACCCTGGGAGGATAAGAGCATTCACTAGATTGCATTTTTGTTTCACTGCCCATCCTGTAAAATACTCCATGGGCCACGTGGCATGCTGTGATTGGTGATTTCAGGCCAAGTTCATCCAATATCTGGAGCTGAATCGGGCTGGCAAAGCTCATCTTATACCTGCCACGTGGCGTTTTATGACTGGTGTTGGTGTTTGCAGGCCAAGTTCATCCGGTATCTGGAGCTGAAGCGGGCTGGCAGGAGCGGGCGGGCATTTTGTGACTGCCAGTGGCAGGCAAACTTTAATTGTTATTGGCCACGTGGCATACTGTGATTGGTTCTTGCAGGCCAAGTTCATCCGGTATCTGGAGCTGAAGCGGGCCGGCAGGAGCATCAACGACGCTTTACGGAACTCCAAGGGCTACCGCAACCCTGACTTCATGCAGCAGGTGGGATGAAGGGGAGAGTGTGTTGAGAGGGGTGGAGAGGGGTATGAATGTGCTGGGAGGGCGGGCAGGAGCATCAGCGACGCTCTCCGCAACTCCAAGGGCTACCGCAACCCTGACTTCATGCAGCAGGTGGGTGATGAGATGGGAGAGGGTGTGACTGTGCTGGGAGGGTTAGGAGGGGCATCAACAGTGCTCTCCGCAACTCCAAGGGCTACCGCAACCCTGACGTCATGCAGCAGGTGGGGTGAAGTGTGTTGAGAGGGGTGGAGAGGGGTATGAATGTGCTGGGAGGGCGGGCAGGAGCATCAACAGTGCTCTCTGCAACTCCAAGGGCTACCGCAACCCGGACTTCATGCAGCAGGTGTGGGAAGACTAAGACTTGGATAGACTTAGATTTGTTGTTCTTCACTCGCCTACCCACGCGCTAGTTGTCCCTTCGCCCTCCCTCTCATGCACTACTGTTCTCCTCTCCACCCTTTTGTTGTTTTGAGACGTCTCAAAACACGTTCTCCACCCTCTTGTTGTTTGCTGATGTACCAACCGATCACATTGTTAATTTCCCACCCTCTCTCACGACAGGTCGTGAAGCATGAGGGAATAGACGAGCATGGCTCCTGCTTTCCTAAGGACGTCTTTAATCCCCTCGGCTTTGACCGATCTGACTACTATGACGCTCTTGGTATGCTGGCTATCCTGCTGCTGCCTCCCATGCCGCTCCTCATGCTTCCCCCCATGCCGCCCCCATGCTTCCCCCATGCCGCCCCCATGCTTCCCCCATGCCGCCCCCATGCTTCCCCCCATGCTTCCCCCCATGCTTCCCCCCATGCCGCCCCCATGCTTCCCCCCATGCCGCTCCCATGCTTCCCCCCATGCCGCCCCTGTGCTTCCCCCCATGCCGCCTCCATGCTTCCCCCCATGCCGCTCCCATGCTTCCCCCCATGCCGCCCCCGTGCTTCCCCCCATGCCGCCCCCATGCTTCTCCCCATGCCGCCCCCATGCTTCCCCCCATGCTTCCCCCCATGCCGCCCCCATGCTTCCCCCCATGCCGCCCCCGTGCTTCCCCCCATGCCGCCCCCATGCTTCTCCCCATACCGCCCCCATGCTTCCCCCCATGCTTCCCCCCATGCCGCCCCCATGCTTCCCCCCATGCCGCCCCCATGCTTCCCCCCATTGCGCCCCCATGCCCCCCCCACGCCGCCCCCACGCGCCCCCCATGGTTTCGTTGTTTCCCCACACACCAGTATGGCGCCCTTGGTTTGCTAGCCCTGGCTTCCCGTGCTTCACCACGCTCCCGCTCTCAAACATGCGCACACAATTTGCCTGTTTTGGTGATCTATCTATCCAAGACGTGTTTTGAAATGTCTCAAAACACGCTTCCCGTGTTTCACCACGCTCCCGCTCTCAAACATGCGGACACAATCTTCCTGTTTTGGTAATCCATCTATCCAAGACGTGTTTTGAGACGTCTCAAAACACGCTTCCCGTGCTTCACCACGCTCCCGCTCTCAAACATGCGGACACAATCTTCCTGTTTTAGTGATCTATCCAAGACGTTTCTAAAATCGCTTCCTGTATGTGCGTGCGCCCCGGCGGCAGTGGCGGAGCAGAGGAGGGAGATGGAGCGGAAGGAGCAGGAGAGGAGGCAGAAGGGCGGGCAGATCGAGTTTCAACGAGGGGGCACTGTGGTTCAGCTCATTGCTGCTCCGCCTAAAGGTATGTTTTTTTGTCGAATTGTGATGAATCGAGTTGGCTTTTTGTTATTGCTATTGTTTCTATAATTATTACTATTACTAATATTACTATTTTCATTATTATTATTACACATTATTATTATTGGGTCCAGTCCAGGCAATTTGAGTGAAGGATGACCCCTCTCATCCAATCCCCCCTCAGCGGCAGCAGCAGGAGAGGTAGCAGTAGGAGCGTAGCGGAGGCAGCATGAGGAGCTTTGAGGCGCCTAAAACAATCTCCCCCCTGTGTTCCCCCCATCCGTCAAATCAGGAACTCAACCGGATTCCGTAGCTGCTGCAGCAGCAGGAGGAGCAGTTGCTGTGTCCGGGCAACCCATGGCAGCAGCAGGGGTGGGAGCAGCAGTGGGGGCAGTGGCGGCAGGAGGTGCCGCTGCTGCTGCCGTGGGAGCGGGCATAGTGGGGTCGGCTCCTGGTGTCGTGCGGGGAGGCACTGTTGCTGCTGGTGGTGGGGAGGGGTTGACACGAGGCGGGAAGCGGAGCAAATGGGACAAGGTACGGATTGTTTGAGGAGGTGAGGTTGGGGGTTTGGGAGAAAGGGATGAGGAACAATGGCAGAAGCAATGACAACAGGAGGTGCAGCAGCAGCTGCTGGGATGGGAGCTGGCAGAATGGGGTCTGCCTTTTGTTTGAGAATTCTCAAAAAACGGATGCTACCCCTGGTTCTGCGGGGAAGTACTAGTGCTGCTTGTGCCACTGGTGGTGGGGATGGGTTGACAAGCGGCGGAAAGAAGAGCAAATGGGATGGGATGATTTTGAGAAAGGGGCAGGAGCAAATGGGAGATTGAAAAGAAGGGAGGAGGGGAGGACGATTTGCATAGGCCTCTCATATTAGCAATCCCACTGTCACCGCATCCCACCGATTTGCATTGGCCTGTACCCACCTCCACCAGGTTGTTGCTGATGCTCCACCAGCAGCAGGAGGGGGAGCAGCCGCATCAACAGCAGGATCCGCTGCCATTGGTGCTGCCGGTGCTGCTGTTGCAGCTGGCACTGCTGGTGCCGGTGGCGTTGCTGCTGCTGGTGGTGCTAATGCTGGCGCTGCTGCTGGTGCTGCTGGTGCTGCTGGTGCTGTTGGTACGGGCATGGGCATAGGGCGAGGGGCGCACATGGCAATGGCAGCAGCGAGAGCACATGCTGCTGCCATCACAGCCGCCGCTGCTGCTGCTGCCATGGGGGGTGCAGCACCCACAGCCAGTCACATGTGAGTTTTGGTCTCTCTTTTTGTTTCCCCAATGCAAGCCTCTTTTGTTGCTGGTGCTGGTGCTGGTGCTGCTGGTGGTACGGGCATGGGCATAGAGCGAGGGGCACACATGGCAATGGCAGCAGCGAGAGCACATGCTGCTGCCATCACTGCCGCCGCTGCTGCTGCTGCCGTGGTTGTTGCAGCGCCCACAGGCGCACACATGTGAGTCATATCACTTCGTTTCCCCAATGGATGCCTCTTTTGTTGCTGCTGCTGCTGCTGCTGCTGCTGCTGCCATGGGGGGTGCAGCACCCACAGGCGGTCACATGTGAGCCTCTGTTTGTCTTACCATTGCGTGCTGCTGCTGCTGCTGGTGACGGCAGGGGAGGGTGGGGAGCTGGGGATTGTTTTGTGCTCACTGTCTCCCCCACTTCTCCCCCACTTGTCTGCCTGATTGTTGAGGCTGCTCAAAACTCTTGATGCTCCGTACGTAATACCGGGGGAGAGGGTTGGGGTTTGGGATCCTTTAGTGCTCCTCATCTCCCCCACTTCTCCCCCACTTCTCCCCCACTTCTCCCCCACTTCTCCCCCACTTCTCCCCCACTTCTCCCCCACTTCTCCCCCACTTCTCCCCCACTTCTCCCCCACTTCTCCCCCACTTCTCCCCCACTTCTCCCCCACTTCTCCCCCACTTCTCCCCCACTTCTCCCCCACTTCTCCCCCACTTCTCCCCCACTTCTCCCCCACTTCTCCCCCACTTCTCCCCCACTTCTCCCCCACTTCTCCCCCACTTCTCCCCCACTTCTCCCCCACTTCTCCCCCACTTCTCCCCCACTTCTCCCCCACTTCTCCCCCACTTCTCCCCCCACCGTGTGTGCCTGATTGCCTTCTATTGTGTGGTGCAGGCCGTACGATAACAGCGGGCACAGGCGTTGACCTACCGTATTATGGTTGCTTGTGACGCAATGCCACTCTTGCCATTCTGTTATTCACGGTCTTTGATTAAGTTGATATAGTTAATACTAGACACGTCACCTAAAACTGGTACCTTTTTATTTCAATAGTAATGATTGGTGTTGCTGTGTGCAGCTCTGGTCTTGCAGTGCTGCGGTTCTGCTCCGCTTCAGTTTTGGTTATCCCAGTTGTTGCAACATCACGTTTTTTTCCTGTTGAACATTAGATTTCAACAAAAGTTTGGCACGAAGAAGATCGGTAGTTCAACATAATTGAGGAACGCAGCAATCTCAAAGCTGGTAACATGGCTAGAGGCACCAGTGTGTGCCCAGAAAAAATGTTTGCAGAGAATGTATATAAGAAACAACAAATTCATACCGTTCTACTGATTCGGACGAGGTGAAGACCAGAACGTGAGCATCGGTTTCCTGCTTCCACTGTATCGCGTTTCCGTTCTCTTTATGGGGTGGCAAAAACCAATGCTCGTCGTCGTCACCTCAATCGTGTGTACACGTGTGTGCCAGCTTCACAACCGTGTGGTGAGTGCGCAGTAAACCACGTCTGGCGATACAAATCTGGCGAATTACAAAGCTGGCTCGGGTGTCCAAGGCAAGCCATTTGTTGCCAAGTTTGGCAAGACAGCCGCAGCTCGAGATGTGGAGATGACTTGGCTCATCGACTTATCGACACATCACCCTCAGCGTCCCATAGATGTGCGTGCCATTGGGTGACTGTTCTGTAAGATGGTAGGGTACAGTACGGTGTTAACTGTTATATTTTCATTAACGTCAGTGTACTGTACCCAAAATTGAAGTTATGCATTGACTGTATTTTTGTGGAGTTGAGGTCCCATGCGTGTGGGAGCCGCCTTTGTGTTCGTGGCGCCTTCAGTTGCGGGTTGCATTACGGCTCCGGGTCGGGACGAGTCGGGGCGGCTGGATAGCGTAGAGTTCAACCTGGGTGACATTGCATAGTTGATCAATTCTTGACCAAGCGCTACCGCATGCGGTTGAGATCACCTTGTCTTGCTGGCAAGGCCCTTCGAAAAACTGTGACTTTGACCAGCCAAGACTCTCCGAACTCTCCTAGTCCATGAATATCAAGCGTATTACTGCACTGCTCACAAAGTGCCAGTGTGGATATTTCTGCGCTGGAAACTTATACATCTCACTTCGTAACTTCAGGGAATTAGAGAGTCTGTCTTTGCTAGCCCTGCAAACTTGAAAGCAGAAGCTCAAGGGGAGTCGCTAACGGTTCTATTTAAAGCTCAAGGCCCAAATTGCGCAAGGTTAGTAATCTTGCGCAAGGGTTTGGGCTGGTCAAGAAAGTGTTGGGAGGGTGGGGTTGACTTATTTCGCACGAGCTCTCGCAACAATCGCTGAGTCAGCAAACACCAAGGCAAACATTCTGTTTGGGTCCGAGAGTCCCAAATTGTGTAATACTGAAAGTTGAAGTTTCTGCAGGGAGATTGGCCTCGACCAATCAGATCCATTCGCACCTACCGTAACCCAGCATTCGCCAAACCACAGCACCAAAACAACAGCTGTGCAAGATTAGTAATCTTGCTCAGGGCGGCCCGCAATTTGGGCCTTGACTTTAAACAATGTGTTTGCCGATTTTGGACCCTCCGCTAACCCGCAGTTGTCATGACCGATAAGCCCCGCACGGAAGGCCGCGCTGCGAGCAGGCAAGCAGCATTGCAGCCGCTCTACCCGCCCCCCTCATTCACACTCGTGTTCAGCCTTTCCCAGCCCACCCTCAGTCCGGGCATCACACGCTTTGTTGTGCACTGCTCGACAGCCCACGCACATGCCACGCCTACTCATTCTGGAAGGCCACCACCCTCTTTGGGTGGGTGGTTCTGTTGTAATATATTATATGGGGTAGGGTACCCGTTGCGATCCCAGCCCAGAACGAGGTACGTGAGCGAATGTCATAGGCGATTCCATTTCATCCAACAAAATCACACAGCTGGTTGTGTTTGTGTAGGTAGCCATAGCACGCGATTTTTTTTGGCGTATTTTAATGTGGTGCAGTGAGGTCTGATTTTGAAAAGGTACAGAAATTTGTGCACAACACCTACCCTACAACACAAACAGCATCGCCAACCAAAACCCCATCTGGACCAGCCAGTTTACAGGCTCGCGTCGTCTGGGTTTGCGGAAGGAATCGGCGCGAGGAATGGGGGAGACGGAATTCAAGGGGGGAATTATCGAATCGGGTGCGTGGACATCTGGCGCAGGAGCTGGCGGAAGGATGGCTGGCTGCTGGGGGCACCGAAACCGGGAATCCCCTGCCGAACCTGCACTGTATCCCGCCCGCGACAGCTTGCCCAAAGCTCTGTACCGAATCTAGACAGGGCATGTGTGTAGGTTCGTTCGTGTGCGGCGAAACCAGGTTCACCTGCCAAACCAGCTCGAGCCCGCGAATAAAGAGCCCCTCCTGGCTCATTGCCCACATCAGATTCCCCATCGCCCAGGGCTGGAAACACCGACCTTTGCAGTGCTTCCCCTTCCCCTCCAGACATTCTCCCTCCAGCCGCCATTACTTCGGAACGGTTTTTACGACACCCGATCTCCTCTGATCGGCCTTGACAACACCTTCCGCGTTGTGCTTCCCAACCATGTCGAAGGCGTGGCTCTTCGTGGCGCTGCTTACTTCCGGCGCCGTAACTCCCGCCGCAACCTCCGCCGGGCCGCGGTGCAAGAACCGCTTCCCGCGCAAGCCACTTTGCAAGTTCGTGGACGACATCGCGACGAACCCGCTCACCGTTATTGACGGCACGACGGGCAAGTTGGTGAAGATCGGCGTGTATCAGAAATACCAGGTGAGTGCCATTTATCGAAAACACTGGTCAGTTCACACGTAAACAAGGCTTTACTTTCTGCCTTTACTGCATTATGCGTCAGCGCGAGTGTTCTGCTGCGCGACATTGCCATTGCAGCGCATTTTTCTCCGGTACATTTGATAAAAAAGGGTTTTTTTTTTTTTTTTTCCCTTCCAGAAATTCCATCGCGATCTGCCCGCGACGAAGCAGTACGTGTACGGGAAGGACGAAAAGTCCGCCTACTACCCCGGCCCGGTCATCGTCGCTCAGCGTGGCGTGGAAACGAAGGTAAGTCGCGAGTCGTGCTGGTTGCATTCACACGCATTTTCGCTAACGCATGAAGGGTTCACTGAAAATGTTGTTTCGTGTTTTGTTGTTCTGCTGTCGTGCCGCGTCGCAGGTGTATTTCGAGAATCGCCTGCTGGACAGGCAGCACATGTTCACTGTAGACTACACTCTCATGCCCGGCATTCCCAAGCCAAAGCTCGGCGGCATTCCCGTCGGTATGTCCAAATGCGAAGTTGTTAGAGGGCCCTACGATAGCAAGGGCCCTCGACGACTTGGCAGATTGCTAGATTGACGACCTAGACTGACGCCCTTCGCCACCGACATGGGAATATTGGTGATGGTCGCGTATTGACAAAGCGTGACTGCTGAACTTGTCGTTGGAGTTTGTGCAGGGCAGTACAAGTCTGTGGGAGTCATTGGTGGTGTTGCCGAGTTGGAGTTGGTTGGTTGGGGTGGCGTGTAAGAAGGAACATCCCGCTGCTGAGTCAGGTTGGGATTGGCCGAGGCGCGGTTCATCCATCCACACGACAGTTTTGTGGGGTTGGGTTACTGCGCAGCGCCACGGCAACTTTGTGCAACTTCCCCGTAGCCTATATCTATCTTGTGTGTTTGCTTTTGTATTCATAATAATATTACAATCTCTACTCAAGTTCTCACTTAGCCATTTGAGACAAGCTCTACCGAAACGCTACCGAATTCCTCGCGCAACACCATTCTCACAAGCAGAAACTCTCTCGCCGTCGTAACGCTCTCCATAGTATTCCTTCATGGTGCGGTGAGCGTGGAACGAACACGCATAGATTTCCGTCGTCGATTATAGTGACGTTCGTATACTCGCCTTGGCGTGCGGCGTTAGTGAAGGGCGCTTATTAATTTAAGTTGAATTTTTCTTAATGTCCCTCCAGTTACGTTCTCGGACCCAAGGATAGGGCGTTTGGTAATTTATTACCACTCGTCTGAGGACCCTTGTGAGGTGACCCCGAGACGAGGGATTTAAGGAAGGGACAATTTATTTTAATTTGTGGTACCTTATAGAGGCGTCGTAAAGGATGAGTACGGAGGAGGCGAACGTGGAGGCCGATAATTTCCGCGCATTAGAGGAGGACCTCGTGGCTCGTCGCTCTCGTGGTGAGCTTAGTAGTGAAGATTACGAGCTCATGTTGGAGGGAATACGCGCTCGTCAGCGTCGCGATCGTCCCTCGCCACGTGTAGAGCAAGCCGCGGGAGGAACTAGTGCGTGGGATATGGCTGTTGATGGCGGAGATGGCGATGACGAGGAGTTTGATGGGTTGGTGTCGCGTGGGGTCCTGCGAGGAACGACTCGGTTTAGTACGGCTAGCGTCGGTGGTATACAGGAGCGTGTTCATCGCGCAGCGGCGTCACACGAGCGTGCGAACGTAGGACGACAGAGCGTTGCTGGAGGAGGGAATGCGGAGGAGTACGATAGTGGAGCTATGCCAGGCATTACCCCGATTGGATCGATGTCGAGGGACGAGGGAATAGCCCCCAACTATGGCTTCTTCAAATTCACTCCAGACAAAATCGTCGTGCCTAGGCCACTCGAAGGACGCCACGACCTGTCGACATGGGTAGAATCGATCGAGCCGCAGCTTGAGATCGCTCAGCTAAAGCGTTTCATCGACGGTACCACTCCTATTCCCCCAGCACACGCAGTGGTGCTTCTCACACAGTTTCGCGCCATGCAGTTACTAACGTTCACCACGATTTCCCGATGCTGCTCCCCAACCGTACAGATCGCCCTTAAGGCGTGTCGCATGAAGGTAGATGCCGGCTTCCACGCGTGGCAGTTTATCATGCGCACGTATCAAGCGAAAGACGACCTGTATATAGGTCAGTTAGAGCAAGCGCTCACTAACCTCGAGATGGGAGAGCACGAGTCCGCCACATCCTATTGCAACCGTGCACAGCAGATCCTAGTGAACTTGAGGATGGCCGGCGTAGATTATTCGCAGGCGTCTTACATTACTCATGTCGTGAAGGGGTTGCCACAACAGTACAACCTCTTACGCAGGATGCTGAAGCTGCCGCAGGTACGCAAGGAGTTGGACGAGGACACCCTCGCTAGCTACATTATCGAGGAGGAGTGTACGCTGGCAGCGGAGGGACGGAAGGACCAATTTCTTCCCCAGGCCAACCAGGTCTTTACCAAGAAGGGTAAGCCCCAATCCCAGCAGACTTCATCCCCTTCCCCTCCCACTACGGCACAGCAGCAGCAGCCTAAGACTGGGGGTGGGGTTGGAGGTGGAGGAGAGAAGTGGAAAGGGGCTAAGGATGGTCCGCCAAAGGGGGGGAAAGGTGGCTTCAAGGGGAAGTGCTACGTGTGTGGACAGACAGGGCATGTTGCTAAGTACTGTCAGCAGCGGGCGGATAAGGAGGCAGACACGGGTGGAGAGGGTTCTGGAGGCAGCGGCGCGAGTGGCAAGGGGGACGATGGCTCTAAGGGGAGCAGGCAGTCATCATGTGCGATGGTGAAGCCCGTTGTAGAGCAGACTCCTCTTGTCGTGCTGGAGCCTGAGGCCGGGGAGGGCTTACAGGCTCTTGCAGCTGCTGTGAAGGCGAACCCGAGCGTCGTGCTACTTGATAGTGGATGCTCCCACCATCTCATGGGAGATCGTTCTGCCTTTGTGGAGATGAGCAGCGGCGGTAGTATCAAACAAGTGAAAGGCTTCAACGGCGCGCTTCAGGACGTGCAGGGGCGAGGCACAGTCGCTCTTCTTGGAGAAGGGGGCAGGCGTCTCTTGGTGTCTGACGTGCTGTACGTACCTGGAGTGCAGGCGAGTCTTCTTTCTGCTGGGCAGCTGCGTGATAGTGGTGTGCAACTGCTGGATGCAGGCGACGTGACTCTGCTGCGGGCACCAGATGGGTCACTTCTTGGGCGTGCAGAGTACAAGGGGCGTGTTCTCTGCACGAACTTCCAACCGTGTTTGTCGCAGCAGCAGGAAGGCGAAACGGTGGCACTTCGTACCTTGACGACGGGCGTGCGGTCTAAGGTGGACATGTGGCATGCGCGTATGGCACACGTTGGTATTGATGCCATCGAGCGCACTGCGTCTCACGGGTCAGTGAAGGGCTTGGACCTGGAGAAGGGGGGCAAATCAGGCATACCGTGTGTCTCCTGTGTTGGGGGGAAGATCACTCGTCATACCTTCCCGCCAGTGGGTGCGGAGGAGGATGAGTTGCTTGGGGTGGTGCATGCTGACCTGTGTGGCCCTTTCCGTGAAACAGCTAAGGACGGCAGCCGCTACTTCCTGGTGCTGAAGGATCGCAAGTCGCGGTACGTCTGGGCCTACCCTTTGGCTCAGAAGAGTGATGCGCTGGCGGCGTTTCAGAAGTGGCTCCCGATGGCAGAGCGGCAGTGCAAGACCACGGTGCAGGCGCTGCGCACTGATCGGGGTGGCGAGTTCCTGGGGCATGACTTCACGCTCTTCCTCGACGGCAAAGGCATCATCCATGACCTCACGTGCCCGTACACGCCGGAGCAGAACGGGATGGCCGAGAGGGAGATGCGCAGCATTGTGGAGGCGGTGCGGACGATGCTACTGCACATGGGTGTACAGCATCATTGGTGGCACCTGGCGTTGGCGCAGGCCGTCTGGGTGCGCAACCGCGTGGAGCACGCCTCGCTGCCCTCTGGTGTGACGCCGTACGAGCTCGCCTTTCGACACAAACCCGATGTCAGTATGGTGCGGGTATGGGGCTGCATGGTGCAGTACATGTTGCCTCAGTCGCAGCGGGGGGGGAAGCTGGCACCTAAGGCTCGCTGGGGGTTGCACTTGGGGGTGTCCGCAGCGAGCAAGGGCTGGACCGTGCTGGACTTGGAGTCCAACCGCCTCATCACCACTGTGGAAGCTGTGTTCTATGAGACCATGTCCTTGGCAGGATGGAAGGCGTGGCATCGGCAAGAGCATGGGGGGCGTCCAATGCCCTATGAGCCCCTTCCCTCTCACTTCCCGATCACTCTTGAGGAGGCGGTGGAGGAGGAGGAGGTGGTCGCACCTCCTGCTATGCCCTATGTCCCTACCTCGGTCCCCACCCCACCTCCGCCTTCAGTTTACCCTCGTGTGGTTCCCCCTGCCCCACCTTCTTCATCCTCACCCCCCTTGGCTTCCCCTCCTCCTCCTGTTATTCCCTCTCCCCTTCCACCCTCCATCCCTCCTGCACCTGCTCCACCCTCCTCTTCATCTTCCACGGCGCCGCCCGTTGGTGAGGGGGGGATCGTGGTGCCACCGTCTGTGGAGATCACCGACGGGCAGCGCCTTGAGACTGAGCAGCTGCAGGACGAGAGCAGCATGGATGGAGTACAGCAGAGTGGGGGGCAGGAGATAGGGGAGCAGCAGTTAGGGGAGCAGCAGAGTGGGGAGCAGCAGATAGGGGAGGAACAGATTGAGGAGCAGCAGATGGTGGACCAGCAGCTAGGGGAGCAGCAGACAGGGGAGCCGCAGACAGGGGAGCAGGAGCTGTGGGGAATCAGAGATGGTGATCGTGTGTTGGCTTCTGGGACGATCACTGCGCCACTGCGTCGCTCCACTCGCATCACCCGTGGTATCCCGCCTCTTAAGTATGCTTGGGCTTTAGTGATTGAGCCGGCGGGATTGGATGACGAGGAGGAGGACGAAGAGTGGACGGACCTGGACCCTGACGTGGTGGCTGACCCTGAGAGGCAGTGGGATATAGCGAAGATGACAGTGAAGGAGGCCTTGGGCTGCTGGAAGGGCGACAAGGTGAAGGAGGCAATGGATGAGGAGATGCGGAGCTTGATTGAGCAGGGGACGTGGGAGTTGGTTCCGCGTCCGCCAGGGGTGAATGTAATGAAGAACCGCTGGATCCTGAACACCAAGTTCCGACCGGATGGGGTAGTAGAGCGTGAGAAGGCGCGGCTGGTGGTGAAGGGGTTCACGCAGGTGGCAGGGGTGGACTATGAGGAGACGTACGCCCCTGTGGGAAGCTATGTGACGGCGCGCGTGCTTCTAGCGATTGCAGCTGCACTCGATTTGGAGCTGATGCAGCTGGATGTGAAGAACGCGTTCCTCCATGGCGTGCTGGACCGTGACCTTTACATGGAGCAGCCGAGCTACTACGAGGATGGGACCCCTCGTGTCTGTAAGTTGCTGAAGAGTTTGTATGGGCTCAAGCAGAGCCCGATGCTGTGGTATGAGGCCTTGGATGGGGTGCTGCTTGGGGCTGGATGGAAGAAGAGCCAGGTGGATGAGGCTCTGTACTTCAAGAGTGATGCTGAGGGGGAGATGTGCTGGCTGCTGGTGTATGTGGATGATTTGCTTGCTGCCAGCCGCAGTCAGAGCATGCTGGGGGAGCTACGTGAGCTGCTGCAGAGTGCGTTTCAGCTGCGGGAGATTAGCCCTGTGGAGAAGTACTTGGGGTTGCAGCTGATTCGGGACAGGCCTACGAGGAGGCTGTGGCTGCACCAGGGGGCCTATGTGGACAAGGTCCATAGGCGCTTCTTCGACGGGGAGCAGCCGCTGCGAGTGCCTCGCACCCCCCTTTCCTCTGACCCTTTCAGTGTGCAGACCTTTGAGGATGCGGGATGGCAGTCTCGCCAGGAGGAGGAGTACAGGCAGAAGGTGGGATCCTTGCAGTTCGCAGCCTGTACCACTCGTCCCGACATCTCCTTTGCCTGCAGCAAGCTGGGGTCAGGCCAGACTGTGCGGAGTGACCAGCACTGGAAGGAGTTGGACCGGTGCTTGGCGTACTTGGTGGGGAGCAGGGATGTTGCGCTGGAGTTTGGTGGTGGGCCTGAGTCCTTGGAGCTGGTGGGCTATGCCGATGCGGATGATGCGGGAGACAAGCAGAACAGGACTAGCACTGGTGGCTATGTCTTCGTGCTCGGAGGTGCTGCTGTCTCGTGGGCGAGCCAGAGGATTCGTTGCGCCACCCTCTCTTCCACTGAGTCTGAGTACGTTGCTGCTGTGGAGGCGGGGAAGGAGGCGCGTAGGCTGCGCTTCCTGCTGGCAGAGTTTCAACTGCTGAGGAGTGAGGTTCCCACTACTCTCTTTGTGGACAACTCCTCCGCCATTTCAGTGGCAGGTGGCATGGGGCTCAAGGGGAGCCTCAAGCACATGGAGCGTCGTCACATGTGGCTGCAGCACATGGTCAAGCGCAGGAAGCTGCAGCTGCAGTACATCCCTACGAGCGAGCAGCCTGCTGACTACCTTACCAAGGCATTGCATTTCCCCGCCTTCAGTCGTTGCTTCGAGGCTGTGGGGCAGGTGAGGCTCTCGAGCGAGGGGAGTGAGACCTAGACACTCCGTGATGTGGATGGTGCCATGGCCTATCCATGGCTGGTGCGGTGCGTGTTTGCACTTTGAGAGTGCTTCGTTTGTGTGTGTTTCCCTTTGTTTTGGTGTGTATGTGTGTATGCATGCCCTGTGATTATAAAGGGCCTTGCTGTAGTATGGCAGGGGAGTGTTAGAGGGCCCTACGACAGCAAGGGCCCTCGACGACTTGGCAGATTGCTAGATTGACGACCTAGACTGACGCCCTTCGCCACCGACATGGGAATATTGGTGATGGTCGCGTATTGACAAAGCGTGACTGCTGAACTTGTCGTTGGAGTTTGTGCAGGGCAGTACAAGTCTGTGGGAGTCATTGGTGGTGTTGCCGAGTTGGAGTTGGTTGGTTGGGGTGGCGTGTAAGAAGGAACATCCCGCTGCTGAGTCAGGTTGGGATTGGCCGAGGCGCGGTTCATCCATCCACACGACAGTTTCGTGGGGTTGGGTTACTGCGCAGCGCCACGGCAACTTTGTGCAACTTCCCCGTAGCCTATATCTATCTTGTGTGTTTGCTTTTGTATTCATAATAATATTACAATCTCTACTCAAGTTCTCACTTAGCCATTTGAGACAAGCTCTACCGAAACGCTACCGAATTCCTCGCGCAACACCATTCTCACAAGCAGAAACTCTCTCGCCGTCGTAACGCTCTCCATAGTATTCCTTCAGAAGTTCGACAACCCCTTCATTTCTCTCTCGCTTCAAAGCTAGCATTCCGCGTCTGGAGTCAAGAGTTTTCGCAACTCCTCGCGTCGCCTCTCGCTTGTTTCTCACCCTGTTCTAACCTCTGTTCTCGTCTGTGTTGACAGTGCCGCATCGTCACGGTGGTGAGCAGCAAAGCGACAGCGACGGCCACCCACTGGCATGGTTCACGCAGTTCGGCGAAACGGGCCCCACGTTCAAGTCCCGTCTCTACACCTATTCCAACAAGCAAAACCCCGCCGCGATCTGGTATCACGACCACACGATCGGCTGGACGCGCCTTAATACCGTCGCCGGCATCGGAGGGCTCTATGTGATTAAGGACCCCAAGGGATATGAGCGCAAGCTGGGGTGGTTGCCGAGCGGCGCGCGCGAGGTGGCTCTGGCGATTTCGGATCGCACGTTCTTCGCCAACGGGTCGATTAACTACCCCAATGTCGGAATCGTGCCGCGTGTGCACCCGAACTGGAACCCCGAGTATCTGGGCAACACGATCGTCGTTAACGGCAAGGTGAGAGTTGTCGCATTCGCACAGTGTCACACTTTCAGATTGGCTGCCGCATTATTACGTCCCAACAGAATGGATCACACATATGGGCACCCACCTGCGTCCCTTCTACGCTTCCCGCAATGTACCCCGTGCGCTAACGTCAACGCTAACACTGTTCTTCATTCTCTCCCCAATGCCCTCACATTTTTCCCCTTCTTCTCCTTCCCCGTGGCCTTACCCACACATCAGGTGTGGCCGTACATGCGCGTGCGCCCCGCAATGTACCGCATGCGTCTGCTCAACGCCGCCAATGCGCGCGTGTTCAACCTCAAGTGGGTGTGCGCCGCGCGCGCCGATTACCCCAACTTCGTTCCGCCCATCGAGGGCCCCGCGATGTCCGTCATCCAGGTGAGCGGAAAACTCTCCGCCACTAATATTATTCCCCCGGAAATATTGCAGTGGCAAGCCCGTTCCGCGGCACAACCCGGAGTTTCAATCTAGTGATACTACTTTTACTACCGCCTTCCGTTGCACACGCGGTTTCCTTTCGCAACCTATCCAATCATCGGCAGGTGTCACATGTTCGTTCCCGCCGCAGCAACTTCAAGGATTCATCACACTTCTCTTCCGCCTCTCTCCTCCTTCCCCTCCCCCTGTCTCTCCCCTTCACCCGTCCCTTCAACCGTAGATTGGCACTGACGGCGGTTATTTGGTCCGCCCTGTGCGCCGCACCGAGGTGCTTCTGGCCCCCGGCGAGCGCGTGGATCTCCTCGTCGACTTCTCCCTTGTCCCGTCGGGCTGCAAGGACGTGATTATAACGAACGACGCGCGCGCGCCCTTCCCCGCGGGCCAGCCCGTGACTGCGGAAACGGGCGTGGTGATGCGCATCAACATCTTGAATAAGAAGCGCATCCCGTCTCCAGTCATTCCCAAGAAGATCAGCGTAAGCTCACGCTCGTCAGCTGATAAAAAGAAAAGGTTTATGAAAATACTAAATCTGTAAACCTGTGAGCGAAACATTCTTCCGTGTGCCGTTCCAAAAGATCAGAGTGTACGCGGCTCTCCGCGAACACTTCAGCCCTTTCGCATTTTTCCGTTTGTCGCTACCTCGACATGCTCATTTCGTCGACTTGGACGTCTAATTTTGTTACATCGCTCTCTTTCGCATGTTCTTCGTTAAAACGCAGTGGATGCCCAAGGTGCCAGCAGTGAACAGGGAGCGGTACGCCACGCTGGTAGAGATCATGGATCGTGCGACCAACCTGCCTATCCGCGTTACTATCGACGGCAAATCATACATGGACCCTGTTACCGAGACTCCTAAGCAGGTACACTGAGTATGGAACTATACTCTCCCTACAACCAGGTGCATGATGGAAAATATACTCCAGCTTGATACTTCAAAACTTTTGCACTTCTTTTTGACCCCTCCTGAGCTGCCTGACCATTTTTTTTTTCTTTTCCAAACTTCCATGTGCAGGGTGACACTGAGGCATGGTATCTCATCAACCTATCAGCCGACGCACACCCGATGCACGTTCATCTTGTCCAGCACCGTCCCGCCTGGCGCCGCCCATTTGATGTGGCCGGTTACCAGGCCGGTCGTTGCTCGTTCACTGACAAAACCAAGCCTAGCTGTTACACTGGTAACCGGCAGCTGGTTGGCTACCACGAGAGGGGCTGGAAGGATACCACCCTGGCGTATCCTGGGCAAGTTCTGAAGCTGATTCTCACATTCAAGCGCCAGGTACGCTCCGCAATTTGTCAGTCCGATGCACATGTCAGTGCACTTGGTTCAGCATCAAAAGCACCCCCCTGGATAAACTCCTAATCAGAACATCTGTGATTTTTTTTTCTCCGCTTGTTTATTCATTCATTATTTAATTATCCTTCACGGTTTCGTGTTCTTCATGTGTCCAGGACATGATGCTGTTCGAGTTTGATGCCAGCACTGGCCCTGGCTACGTGTGGCACTGTCACATCCTGGACCATGAGGATAATGACATGATGCGACCCTTGGTCATCAAGAAGTAGACCTCTTGAATTTCTTACCCTTGGAATGTGACTTGATGACCAGCTCAGGATGTACGGTAGTAGGTAAATCTGTTACCATTGTGGTAACATGTATGGGTGTAGTTCTTAGGATAATGGGGTTGTAGGTAATTGGATAGTAGCAGTTCTCTAATTGGCTTCATGAAGCTAGGTGGTACATGAGGGTGTAGAATACAATGTCTAATTTTTTAGTGGAAATAAATATTTATCTGGAAACTGCACATATCATATGTATCAATACATCCGAGCAGTGTGCATAGGCTAACTCTTAAAAAGTGAACACCAAACATGGGGACATTCAAGTAGCACAGTGAGTGACCATCAGAGGAAATGACTGGCGGGAGGCTGAGGTGGAGGGAGGAAGGGTGACTGTAGGAGTGCCTGAGAGTGCAAGAACCTATGTTGGCAGGACCTGCCATTCTAGAAGCGCACACCAAACATGAGCACAGCAGCAAGCAGCACCGCGACAATCACAGCAATGTATCGCGTGGGAATGGCTGTGGCAGGGGGCTGCGGCGGAGGGAGGAGCGGGAAGTGGTCCGGCATGGAGCAGGAGTGACCGTCGAAGGAGAGGAGTGAGGGGAAGAGGTGCTTCCCGTCCGCTGCTGTGAGGTTGAGGCCTGGGAGCAGACCAAACTGCAAGTGGGGAGAGAGGTAAGAGAGTAAGACGGAAGGGAGAGAGGGAGCGAAGAAAGAGAGGAGTGGGAGGAGTGGGAAATGGTCTGGCATGGTGCAGGATTGACCGTCGAAGGAGAGGAGTGAGGAGAAGAGGTGCTTCCCGTCCGCTGCTGTGAGGTTGAGGCCTGGGACGAGACCAAACTGCAAAAGTAAGGGAGGTGGGTGGGGGGATTGGGGAGGGGATGAGGTATTTTTGCAGTTTGGAGCAGTAGGAAGTGGTGTGGCATGGAGCAGGCAGGAGTATCCATCAAAGGAGAGGAGTGAGGGGAAGAGGTTCTTCCCCTCAGCTGCTGTGAGGTTGAACCCTGGGACGAGACCAAACTGCCAAGAGAAAGGAGGGGGGATTGGGTAGGACAAGACAGGTAAAGAGAGGGAAGAAAAAACGGGATGTGATGTGGCATGGAGCAGGCAGGAGTAACCATCAAAAGAGAGGAGTGAGGGGAAGAGGTTATTCCTGTCCGCTGGATTAAGGTTGAGCCCTGGCACGAGACCGAACAGCCTATGGAGGATGGAGGGAGATTGGGGAGGGCATGAGAGGCACACTAACCACAGCCCACCACACTAAACCACAGCCCACCACACTAAACCACAGCCCACCACACTAAACCACAGCCCACCACACTAACCACAGCCCACCACACTAACCACAGCCCACCACACCAAACACACCCCATCTTGAAATCGCTCTGCATGTTGCCAAAGCTCATTGCCTTGGGGTCAGGTCAGGCAGTGCTGCTATAGCGTACCTTATTCCCCTGCTACAGCCCTCTTTACTGCTCTGCTACAGCCCACCACACAAGCAAACCACAGCCCACCTTGAAAACGCTCTGCACGTTGCCGAAGGTCTTCCCCTTGAGGGGGGACGGTGTGCCTTCCAGCCAGCTGTTGCTGTCTGTGAAGCCGTAGAGCACGCGGGACGTGGCTGGAGAGGGGGCGGGGGAATAGGGAGGGGCCCACCAGGGGGCAAGGGGGAGGGGGAGATATGTGCCTTGAGGGGAGACGGTGTGCCTTCCAGCCAGCTGTTGCTGCCTGTGAAGCCGTAGAGCACGCGGGACGTGGCTGGAGGGGGAGGGGTGGGGAATAGAGGGGGTGGGGGAGTGTGGGGGGGTGCCTTGAGGGGGTTAGGTGTTCCTTCCAGCCAGCTGTTGCTGCCTGTGAAGCCTAGTTTTGAGGCGCCTCAAAACTGTTGCTGCCTGTGAAGCCGTAGAGCATGCGGGAGGTGGCTGCGGTGGAGGGTTGGAGAAAAGAGGGGGTGGGTGAGGGCTATGACTTGAGGGGATGAGGGCTATGACTTGAGAGGATGAGGGCTATGACTTGAGGGGATGAGGGCTATGACTTGAGAGGATGAGGGCTATGACTTGAGGGGATGAGGGCTATGACTTGAGGGGATGAGGGCTATGACTTGAGGGGATGAGGGCTATGACTTGAGGGGATGAGGGCTATGACTTGAGGGGATGAGGGCTATGACTTGAAGGGATGAGGGCTATGACTTGAGGGGATGAGGGCTATGACTTGAGGGGATGAGGGCTATGACTTGAGGGGATGAGGGCTATGACTTGAGGGGGTGAGGGCTATGACTTGAGGGGATGAGGCCTTTTAACCAGCTGTTGTTGGCATGCCTTAAGAGGGGATGCGGTGTTGGTGTTGCTGCCAGTGAAGCCGTAGAGCAGGCGAGATGTAGCAGGGGGAAAACGCAGAAGGGAGAGCGCCACGGGAGGAAGAGAAGGGAGGAGATGAGAGAGGAAGGGAGGGAGGAGGGAGGAGGGAGGAGGGAGGAGGGAGGAGAGGAGAGAGAAAGAGAAGGAAGGAAGGGAGAAGAGGAGAGAGAAAGGGACGGAGAGGAGGAAAGGGACCATACAGAAAGGAGGGAGAGAAGGGAGGAAAGAAGAGGGAAAGGGGGGGAGAAAAGGGAGGAAAGGAGAGAAAAGGAAAGAAATAAGGGGAGGGACAGAGGCTGGTGCGTCTGATCCTAAAGGGCCAAAACACCAAACTATAATCTTGAAACCATGATGTCCCAACACCCATGATGCTGACCCTAAAGGGCCAAAACACCAAACTATAATCTTGAAACAATGATGTCCCAACACCCATGATGCTGACCCTAAAGGGCCAAAACACCAAACTATAATCTTGAAACCATGATGTCCCAACACCCATGATGCTGACCCTAAAGGGCCAAAACACCAAACTATAATCTTGAAACCATGATGTCCCAACACCCATGATGCTGACCCTAAAGGGCCAAAACACCAAACTATAATCTTGAAACAATGATGTCCCAACACCCATGATGCTGACCCTAAAGGGCCAAAACACCAAACTATAATCTTGAAACCATGATGTCCCAACACCCATGATGCTGACCCTAAAGGGCCAAAACACCAAACTATAATCTTGAAACCATGATGTCCCAACACCCATGATGCTGACCCTCGTTCGGGTCATACCCGAGACAATGGCGCTTCCGAACGAGTAGATGGCAGAGGTGTTGGCGAGGGATGGGAGGGCGATGCGCGTTACCCAGGGAGGGTGATTATTCTTGGTTCTCAAAGAGAGGGTTCAAAGAGATTAGGACGAGTTAGGACCATTGGATCCAGGTCGAAACTATCTTTCTATGCTACAAGAGGGGTTCAAAGAGAGGGGCTCAAAGAGAGAGTCTCAGGAAAAGAGCCATACCAGACACGTTGGCGTATCCGAATGAGTAGATGGCAGAGGTGTTGGCGATGGAAGGGAGGGTGATGAGTGCTACCCAGTCAGAGACGCTGCTGTTGCCACGATTGATGATGCTCAGCTGATAGCGTGGTGGGATGGGATGGGATGGGGTGGGAAACGGTGGTGGGAAAGCAGGGGAACATTGGTGGTGCAGTGGATGGGTGATGAGTGCTACCCAGTCAGTGACGCTGCTGTTGCCACGATTGAGGATGCTCAGCTGATTGCATGTGGGGTAGGGTGGGGTGGGGAGGAGAGGTGGTGGGGAAGAGAGGTGGTGGGGGAGAGAGGTGGTGGGGGAGAGAGGTGGTGGGGGAGAGAGGTGGTGGGGGAGAGAGGTGGTGGGGGAGAGAGGTGGTGGGGGAGAGAGGTGGTGGGGGAGAGAGGAACCATGTGCGGTCAGGTGGATGCGAGTGAGGAGGGCGGCCCAGTGAGAGACGCTGCTACTGCTGCAGTTGATTTCTGAGACGTCTCAAAACTGGAGGGTGAACCAGTGAGAGACATTGCTGTTGCTGCGGTTGATGAAGCTCAGCTGATGATAAGGGTGGTGGAAGAGGTGGTGGGACAGGGAGAAGGGGAAGTGGGACGGGGAGCAAGGTGACATGTGTGGTGCGGTGGATGTGGGTGGTGAGTGGTACCCGGTTAGCCATGCTGCTGTTGCCGCAGGTGATGATGCTCAGCTGATAGCGTGCTACCCAGTCAGAGACACTGCTGACCTGGCTGTATCCAGTCAGAGACACTGCTGACCTGGCTGTATCCAGTCAGAGACGCTGCTGACCTGGCTGTATCCAGTCAGAGACGCTGTTGACCTGGCTGTATCCAGTCAGAGACACTGCTGACCTGGCTGTATCCAGTCAGAGACGCTGCTGACCTGGCTGTATCCAGTCAGAGACACTGCTGACCTGGCTGTATCCAGTCAGAGACGCTGCTGACCTGGCTGTATCCAGTCAGAGACGCTGCTGACCTGACATGACCTGGCTGACACTGCTGATGCTATGACATGACAATGAAGGTGGATCGGGTAGATGCATGTTCTTCAATGCACTGATGCTATGACATGCCAATGCAGGGAGAAAAAGCATCAAACCCACCTTGGAGCATCAAACCCACCTTGGCAACAAGCCCATCTTCATACACTGATCATCACATGCAAGGGCAGGTGAATGAACCCGATGTGCTGTGAAGGGAGAAACATCATCTAACCCGCCAGTGCAGGTGGATCGGGCAGCTGTGCTGGGTATACATGCCATTGCGATTCAGCCTACCTTGGCAACAAATCCGTCCTCATAGACAGCCACCACGTGCCAGTGCAGGTGGATCGGGCAGCTGTCGCGGCACCGGGCAGATATAAAATCCCTGTCCTCCCCATACCAACTGGGAAGCTTCTTGGAAGGGACCACATCGCCCCTGCCACCAATCGTATCGAAGATTGTATCTGAATTGCATCAAGAGAGGGAAGAAATAAAGGGTGAACAAGGGAAGGAGGAGGGGAGAAATTAGGGAACGAGAGGAGCAGAAAGAAACGCTGGAACAAAAATTGAGAAGAAGAAAAAAAGAGGGGGGGGGGGGGGAGGAGGTGGAAATAAGTCGATTTGAGCCGTCTCAAACAACAGGACAAGGAACTGGGGTCAAGACCCACCAGGAGCAGCACACGTGGGCCAATCACGGAGCCCCACGTGGGGATAACTGCTGCTGTTAGCCGCCGTCCCGTTTCCAGCAGAGGGAGCACCGAGGAGGAGACTCGAGAGCGACGGAGGGGAGAAGGGAGAGGTAGGAGAAACCGAGGCTAGGAAAGAGGAAGAGGCGGAGGAAATGGAGGAGGACGCGGAGGAGGAGGAGGAAGAGGAGGAAGTCGAAGAAACAGCCTCCCTGGGGCATCCACAGGCGCAGGTCTTGCAGGGAGACACATAGAATTGCCCGCTGCCACTGCCGGTGCTGCTGCTGCGGCCAAAGATGCTCCCCCAGGCGCCCTGGGGCGAGCCCGTGTTGTTGAATGCAGCAGAGAACGACACGCAGCAGGTGGGGCGAGGAGGGGGGAAGGAGGGGTCGCGGTAGCAGGCGTAGCGCCACGTGGCAACTGCTGATAGGTTGCGGGAGGGGTTGACCTGGCAGTAGGGGAGGTTAGATGGGGAGGGGGGAGCGGGAGGGGGAGGGGGAGGGGGAGGAGGAAGAGGAGAGAGAAAGATGATTGGGCTATTCCCCCAACCCCAGCACGCTCCCGCAGGCGCCCTGGGGCGAGCCCGTGTTGTTGAAAGCGGCAGAGAACGACACGCAGCAGGTGGGGCGGGGAGGGGGGAAGGAGGGGTCGCGGTAGCAGGCGTAGCGCCACGTGGCAACCGCTGATAGGTTGCGGGAGGGGTTGACCTGATGGGAGAAAGGGAGAGGGTAGCGAGAGGTGGAGGGAGGACGGTGAGGGTGGAGGGGGAAGAGGAGAGAGAGAGGGATGGTGGGCAATTATCCCAACCCCTCACGCAACCCTGGAGAGGATGGAGAGGAGTGACAGGGGTGTGGTGTGGGGTGGGCTGAAGAACATGTAGTAACTGCTGCCTGCATGCACCGCTGCCTGCATGCACCGCTGCCTGCATGGACCCCTTGCATGGACCCCTTGCATGGACCCCTTGCATGGACCCCTTGCATGGACCCCTTGCATGGACCCCTTGCATGGACCCCTTGCATGGACCCCTTGCATGGACCCCTTGCATGGACCCCTTGCATGGACCCCTTGCATGTACCCCTTGCATGTACCCCTTGCATGTACCCCTTGCATGTACCCCTTGCATGGACCCCTTGCATGGACCCCTTGCATGGACCCCTTGCATGTACCCCTTGCATGTACCCCTTGCATGTACCCCTTGCATGGACCCCTTGCATGGACCCCTTGCATGGACCCCTTGCATGGACCCCTTGCATGTACCCCTTGCATGGACCCCTTGCATGTACCCCTTGCATGTACCCCTTGAATGCACTCGGGACAATATGTGAGGTGGAGCAGACGATTCTCGGGAGGGCGAGAGGGGGGTTGCGAGGCTGAGCGGTGGTGGTGGGGATGGCCTTGAATCCATTAGTCACGGTAACAGTTCTGACACGTCTCAAAAAGGGATGACTTCGAAACCATTTTCTCTACAACGAGCAAAAGGGATGACTTTATAACGAGAACAATATGCTCTACAGGAGATGAGATGAGAGGGATATTTTCCGAGATGGTTACTGGGAATTGATTTGGGTCAAGGCGGATGGCAGCGGAGCAAAGTATTCCCGGGAGGCCGAGTTTTGAGACGTCTCAAAAGTTCCCGGGAGGCCGAGGGAGAGGTTGCGAGGCGGAACGATGGAGGGGATGGCCTTGAACTGGAGCGTGACACCTAGCAAACTAGTCCCTTTAGTGCGAATTTAACAGTTTGACTCACCGGGAACTGGGTTGGGTCAATGCGGACGGCAGCGGAGCAGACTATTCCCGGGAGGCCGAGGGAAAGGTTGCGAGGCGGGGCGATGGAGGGGACGGCCTTGAACTGGCGCGTGCGGCCGATGCGGAGGCGGAACTGAGCCAAGGATGTGTTGCCCTGATGGGAAGGGAGACATGAAGGAGGGGGGGGGTTGCTGTGATGTGACAACAGGCACAAGGGCGGGGCAATGGAGGGCATGGCCTTGAACTGGCGCGTGCGGCCGATGCGGAGGCGGAACTGGGCGAGAGAGGTGTTGCCCTGATGGGGGAAGAAGGTTCCATTGAGGAGGGAAAGCGAGGGATGGAGATGGAAAAATGGAGATAGAGATAAGGAGGGATGGGGAGATGGAGGGATGGGGTGATGGAGGGACGGACTATTGCCCAACTGCCCACACACTCACGCACCCACCCACCTGGTACTGAGCGAGAGCACAGTTGCCATAAGGGGAACGAGCGCAGTCCAATAGACCCATTCTTCCAGCAGGAGAGGCGCACTCCCAGAGCGGGGCCCCCAGGACCATTCACACAGGGCAGGGCGAAAACCCAACTACTGCTGCTCACCTGGTACTGAGCGAGAGCACAGTCGCCATAAGGGGAACGAGCGCAGTCCAATAGATCCATTCTTGCAGCAGGAGAGGCGCACTCCCAGAGCGGGGCCCCCAGGTCCATTCACACAGGGCAGGGCGAAAACCCAACTACTGCTGCTCACCTGGTACTGAGCGAGAGCACAGTCGCCATAAGGGGAACGAGCGCAGTCCAATAGACCCATTCTTGCAGCAGGAGAGGCACACTCCCAGAGCGGGGCCCCCAGATCCATTCACACAGGGCAGGGCGAAAACCCAACTACTGCTGCTCACCTGGTACTGAGCGAGAGCACAGTCGCCATAAGGGGAACGAGCGCAGTCCAATAGATCCATTCTTGCAGCAGGAGAGGCACACTCCCAGAGCGGGGCCCCCAGGTCCATTCACACAGGGCAGGGCGAAAACCCAACTACTGCTGCTCACCTGGTACTGAGCGAGAGCACAGTCGCCATAAGGGGAACGAGCGCAGTCCAATAGACCCATTCTTGCAGCAGGAGAGGCGCACTCCCAGAGCGGGGCCCCCAGGTCCATTCACACAGGGCAGGGCGAAAACCCAACTACTGCTGCTCACCTGGTACTGAGCGAGAGCAGGGTCGCCGTATGGAAACGAGCGCAGCCCGATCGCCCCGGTCTTGCAGCAGGACAGGCAGACTCCTCCCAGGTTAGCCCCCAGGTCCCGCCCTCTCTCACTGCCATGCGCCCCTCCCGGTAGATCCACGATTACGGGGTGTGGCGAGCAGGAGTGGGCGGGCACAAGGCAAGGTGAAAAGGCAAGTAAATCTCGTCTCACCTGGTACTGAGCGAGAGCGGGGTCGTTGTAGGGAAACGAGCGCAGTCCAATAGACCCGTTCTTGCAGCACGACAGGCGCACCCCCAGGGTCGCACCCAGGTCCCGTCCACTCTCACTGTCATGCGCCCCTCCCGGTAGATCCACAAAGGTGGGTCGGGGCGAACACGAGTGGGCGGTGGCAATGGCTGATCCGTAGACTGCAGAGGAGGCGGACTGCTGCTGGCAGTTGCCCTGTTGGGTTGCCTGTGCGCCAGATGCTTCCCACACAATCTGAATGGACCAGAGGGGAGGTTTAGGTGTGGTGTGGTGGGAGCGTGGGAAGAGAGGGGTGGATAGGAGCACGAGTGGGCGGTGGCGATGGCTGCCCCGTGGACGGCTGTGGAGGCGGACTGCTGCTGGCAGTTGCCCTGTTGGGTTGCCTGTGCGCCAGATGCTTCCCACACAATCTGAACGACAGATGTTTTGAGACGTCCCAAAGAACGGGGAGGGGGAAGGCGACTTTTGAGGCGATTTATGAGTCGAGTAAAAAATCGACTCATCACACGCAGAACGGAGGCGGGGAAGGCAACTTTAGAGGCGCCTCAAAAGTCTCTTGCCTCCGACACAATCTGAACAACAAAACGGAGAGGGGGAAGGCACGTGTAGGGAAGGAAGGGAGCTGGGATAGGAACAGAAGTGTGGGAAGAGGGGGAGGTAGGAGGAGCACGAGTGGCCTATGGCGATTGCTGCAGGGGCACCATACACTGCCGGCAGGGCATTCCTCTCCTCGTTCTGCGTCCACCACCAGCTGAGCGCCAATGGCTCGTTTCTTGGGGCCCCAACACGCCTGTCCGCCTGTAGGTTGCTGATGTTGACGAGCAGCATCTGATCAACCACGCTCCATCCACACCTTCTTCTTCAGACCAAAACCCCAGCTTTCGAGCCCTAAACCCTGAACCCCAAGCCAAACCTACCCCCCTTATACCTCGCCAGCTGAGCGCCCAGGGGTCGTTCCTCGGGGGCCCAACGCGCCTGTTGGTCTGCAGGTTGCTCTTAGGGCCGTACATTTATGCTATGTCACCTTAAACCTTCACCTTGAACCCTGATCAGTTTGAACCCTACACCCTCGGCACCTCATTCTGCGTCCATCGCCAGCTGAGCGCCCAGGGGTCGTTTCTCGGGGGCCCAACGTGCCTGTCAGGCTGCAGATTGCTCGAGGGCCATGACTATATACTCCGCCCGACGGCATAAACCCTGAACCCTGTCTCATCTTAACCCCCCTTTTGAGGCGCCTCAAAAGGCTGCAGATTGCTCGAGGGCCATGACTATATACTCCACCTGACAGCATAAACCCTGAACCCTGTCTCATCTTAACCCCCTTTCGAGGCGCCTCAAAAGGCTGCACATTGCTCGAGGGCCATGACTACATACTCCACCTGACAGCATAAACCCTGAACCCTGTCTCATCTTAGCCCCCCTCCTCACCTCATTCTGTGTCCATCGCCAGCTGAGCGCCCAGGGGTCGTGCCTCGGGGGCCCAACGCGCCTGTCTGGTTGCAAGTTGCTGATGGTGACGAGCATCTGATGGTCCAGATCGCTCGCTGCTGTGATGTCGATCTGGACCGTTAAAGCGGGGACGATCGGGGGGAGGCGGGGAGGCGGGCGAGGAGGAGGGGGAGGCGGGTAGGGGGTTTCCCTGCAACAGACCTGGGAAAGGGGAGGACGGGAAGGGGTAGGATGGGAAGGGGGAGGATGGGAAGGGGGTTCAACAGCAGGGGAAGGGAGGGTCTTGAGTAGACGAAACGGGGGCAAGGAGGAGGAGGAGGCGGGTAGGGGGCTTCCTTACAGCAGACCAGGGCGGGGATATGATGGGAAGGAGAAGAACTGGAGGCAGTAGGAGTGCGTACTAGATTGACGGTATGCATGGGAGGTTTTTGAGGCGCCTCTCAAATCACCTCAATGGTTGGAAGGAGAAGAGCTGGAGGCAGGAGGAGCGCTTTTTGAGAATTCTCAAAAATCGCTCACAAGGCAGTAGGACCGCGTACGTACATGGATTGAAGGGAAGCATAGGAATGTGTTTTGCTTGCAACCTTACCTGAATCCTGTTGGGAGATGGGAACTGAGGGCGGTTGGATGCACAGTGGAAGCCTGCAGAGGAAGAAAAGGGAGATGATGGAGAGTTGGGGGAATGGGGGAATGGAGGAATTAACAGCAAAATTTTTTTGAGGCGCCTCAAAAGAATGGGGGAATGAGCATGGAGGCAGAAGCGGCGAAGAGTTCATCTGGGTAGGGCTTATGAGTGATGGAGGGGGGAGGGGGTTGATTAACAGAAAAAAATTGCAGCAGAGAAGGGAAGGAGGGGAGCAGAGATGAGCAGGTGAGACATGACAAATCGGTTCCGCGCACCTGGTGTGGTGAGGTAAAGGGGTTGAATGGTATTGAGACAGTACCTGGTGTGGTGAGGTAGAGCGTGAGAGGGAGCGCCTTGCTGGCAGTCGCCGCCCCAAACTCCACACTTGAGGACGATTCTAAGAATGTTCAAAAGCGACTGGGAGAGTCTAATCCCAAGTGAGCTCAGCCCAACACACGCACACCTGGTGTGGTGAGGTACAGCGAGCGTGCGTGGGAGCGTCTTGCTGACCTTCACCACCCAAATTCACACTCAGCCGAAATTAACTATACAGTCACACACACACACGCACACCTGGTGTGGTGAGGTAGAGCGTGCGTGGGAGCGCCTTGCTGGCAGTCGCCGCCCCAAACTCCGTGCCAAACACCTCAGCGAACACCACATACTGCCGAACGTCGCCGCCCGCGTGGATCGCCGTGACGAGGCGGTCGCTCTGATCGTCAATGCTGGAGAAGAGCAGCGCGGATCCTGTGGTGTAAGAGCGGCAGGGGAAAGAGGGGAGGTAGTAATGTGAGTGCCTCTGATGACCAGTATCACTTGCAGTGATGAGGCGGTCGCTCTGGTCGTCAATGCTGGAGAAGAGCAGCGCGGAGCCTGTGTGAGGGGCAAGCATAGAGGGGGGATGTGCAGGAGTTGGTGGGATAGTGTTTTGAGACGTCTCTTGAGACGTGTTTTGAGACGTCTCAAAACATGTGCGGAAGTTGGTGGGAGAGTTAGCAGGGTTGATGCATCAAGTGCAGTGATGAGGCGGTCGCTCTGATTGTCAATGCTGCAGAAGAGCAGGGCGGAGCCTGAAAGCAGGGCAAGGTAATGTAGAGAACTTGGAGTCTAGGGTTCAGGGTTTAGGGCGAGGGCGAGAGATGTCATAGAAGCAGCAGCAGTGGAGGCTGAAATACAACTCAGCTGTGATGTGAATGTTGAGAATTCTCAAAAGAGAGTGCACTGCAGTTAGGATAGCAGCAGCAGCAGTGGAGGCTGAAATACAACTCAGCTGTGATGTGAATGTTGAGAATTCTCAAAAGAGAGTGCACTGCAGTTAGGATAGCAGCAGCAGCAGTGGAGGCTGAAATACAACTCAGCTGTGATGTGAATGTTGAGAATTCTCAAAAGAGAGTGCACTGCAGTTAGGATAGCAGCAGCAGCAGTGGAGGCTGAAATACAACTCCGCTGTGATGTGAATGTTGAGAATTCTCAAAAGAGAGTGCACTGCAGTTAGGATAGCAGCAGCAGCAGTGGAGGCTGAAATACAACTCCGCTGTGATGTGAATGTTGAGAATTCTCAAAAGAGAGTGCACTGCAGTTAGGATAGCAGCAGCAGCAGTGGAGGCTGAAATACAACTCCGCTGTGATGTGAATGTTGAGAATTCTCAAAAGAGAGTGCACTGCAGTTAGGATAGAAGCAGCAGCAGTGGAGGCTGAAATACAACTCCGCTGTGATGTGAATGTTGAGAATTCTCAAAAGAGAGTGCACTGCAGTTAGGATAGCAGCAGCAGCAGTGGAGGCTGAAATACAACTCCGCTGTGATGTGAATGTTGAGAATTCTCAAAAGAGAGTGCACTGCAGTTAGGATAGCAGCAGCAGCAGTGGAGGCTGAAATACAACTCCGCTGTGATGTGAATGTTGAGAATTCTCAAAAGAGAGTGCACTGCAGTTAGGATAGAAGCAGCAGCAGTGGAGGCTGAAATACAACTCCGCTGTGATGTGAATGTTGAGAATTCTCAAAAGAGAGTGCACTGCAGTTAGGATAGCAGCAGCAGCAGTGGAGGCTGAAATACAACTCCGCTGTGATGTGAATGTTGAGAATTCTCAAAAGAGAGTGCACTGCAGTTAGGATAGCAGCAGCAGCAGTGGAGGCTGAAATACAACTCCGCTGTGATGTGAATGTTGAGAATTCTCAAAAGAGAGTGCACTGCAGTTAGGATAGCAGCAGCAGCAGTGGAGGCTGAAATACAACTCCGCTGTGATGTGAATGTTGAGAATTCTCAAAAGAGAGTGCACTGCAGTTAGGATAGCAGCAGCAGCTACTGCCTGCGCGGATACAGCTCGGCTGTGAGCTGAGACTAGAGTACGAGAGGTCAGAGTTACAGCACATGGCTAAGTTGGATGTAACCCTAGAAACGACAGACAAACAATGGCAGAACTGGGCAACCTGAAAGTACATATCCACATAGTACAGCAGTGTTGGATTAGATGTAATCACTTGTGAGAACTCTCAAAAGTGACTTCAATTAGAGATCCATATTGTACGCTGGTCTGGTGTTGGATGGATGGTATCTCACCAGGGTATGTATGCCAGTTTGAACTCCACCTGTGTGTTGCCCAACAGGGTGATGAGCTAATTGCGACTTGTGAGTCAATTCCAAACAGGCAGCCTAGCAGGCAGCTCACAGCCGAGTGCGTGCATTTACACAGGGTGCAGAACCGAGGGAGAGTATTTATTGGCTATCGCATTTCACCTTGACGGGTAATGCATCTCACCATGGTACGGCAGTTCGCATTCCACTTGTGCGTTTCCCGAGCAGCGTGATGAGCTCGTTGCGAGTGTGTTGTGAGTCAACTCCAAACACGCTCTGCCTGGCAGGCAGCTCACACCTGGCTGGATAAGACACCTCACCTGGATATAGCATCTCACCTGGATATAGCAACTCACCTGGATTTAGCATCTCACCAGGGTACGGCAGTTCGAACTCCACTTGCGCGTTGCCCAGCAGCGTGATGAGCTCGTTGCGAGCGAACTCCACCCTCACCTCCCACCCCACCAGGTCCCTGCAGCGCCATATTCTCAGAGGGGTTGAGTGAGATTGAGAGGGTTTGGGATACACAGGGAGGTAAGGGGCAACAGTTGGGTGATAAGGTCGCTGCAGGTGAACTCCACCCTCACCTCCCACCCCACTAAGTCCCTGTGGTGCAAGATATGGAGAGGGACAAGAGTGGAGGGAAGAGGGAAGATGAAGAAACGGAAGACAGGACTTGAGTAAGGAGCTCGTTGCAAGTTAACTCCCATCCTCGCCTTCCACCACCCCACCCCACCAGGTCTTGGTAGTGAGAAACATGGGGATCGAAGGGAATTGGGAAGCACAGAGAGAAATTTTAAAAAGAAAAAGAAAAGAAAAGAAAAGAAAGCAAGCTGCTAGTCCTTTGCTGCTTGTTGCATATACAGAAATAGGACGTAGAGAGGAAGGAGATTAACAAGGGCCACTTACCTCTTGCCGGTGTTGAGAAGCTCCATCTTGGATTTGAACCCATACGGCTTCACACTCCCATTCCACACGGAGGGAATGTTGATAATGCTATCTATCACATACGCCATTGTTACTCCGAAGCACGGAGCGGGGGGAGCGAAAGAAGAGGAGGAGGGGGAGAAGAAGAGGAGGGGGAGAAGAGGAGGGGGAAGCGAGGAACAAGAGGGGGAGGAGGAAGAGGGGGGGAGTTCTGACCTTTTGCCGGTATTTAGAAGCTCGATCTTGGATTTGAAGCCATATGGCTTCACACTCCCATTCCACACGGAGGGAATGTTGATGATGCTCTCTATCACATACGCCACCGTGACGCCGAAGCATGGAGCGGGGGGCGCGGGGACGATGGGGCCGCGGATGGGAGGCGGTAAGGGGGAGGAGAGCGAGAAGGGGCCGGTAGGGGGTGGGCGGATTATCGGGTCTGGTATGGCGTCTGACTGGTTGGCTGTGAGGAGGGGGGAACGGTGGAGAAGGATGGAGAAAGGTATAGAGGGGAGCACGCATTGAAGAGAAGAAAGGTCCATCGGGGGTGGGTGGGGTGAGGGAATCATTGGGCCTGGGACAGCGTCTGACTGGTTGGCTGTGGGGGGAAGGAGGGTGGAGGGGCATGCATTTGTGTAGTAGAAACGGCAGGGGAGAGGGAGGGAAACGGAGAGGGAGGCAAACGAGATTGAGACGTCTCTCAGGGGTCGATTCGAGATGGGTCAAATGCTTTGGTAAATTAGGTGTTGTCTGACTGGTTGGTTATGCTTGTATTTCTTTTGAGATTTGGGTTATGATCTCAAAGAGACCCAATAACGAGGCTGGAGAGGGGGGCAAGGGAGCAGAGCATATGAAAGGTAGGATGGCAAGGGAAGGAGAAGGCGAAGGAAAGGGAACAGAGAAAAGAAAAAGGACAGGGAAAGGTCATTAAGTGCAGGGAAGGAAGGGAGGGTGAACGAAACAGCATTTCCCTTCCCTCCAAGGACAGGGAATGGAAAAAGGACAGGGAATGGGCATTAAGTGCAGGGAAGGAAGGGAGGGTCAAGTGCGAAACTCCCTCCTTCCATTCCCACATCACCTAAAATGCTTCCCTCTTCCCCCCTACCCTCAATGCTTCCCTCTTTCCCCCTACCCTCAATGCTTCCCTCTTTCCCCCTACCCTCAATGCTTCCCTCTCTCTCCGTCCGCCCATCACCTTCAAGTGTTCCGCTTTAAGTGCTTCCTTATCTCGACTCGACCCATTTTCCCCCAGAACCCACCAGCAAGGAGGGTGGCACCACCACTGTGTGTTATTTGAGAATTCTCAAAAAACACACGGTGTTCCTCTTTAAGTGCTTCCTTATCTCGACTCGACCCATTTTTCCCCAGAACTCACCAGCAGGGAGGGTGGCACCACTTGCCATGACATTGCTTCTCATGGTATTACTAGCAGCAGCATCAGCAGGACCACTGCCCGCACCAATGGGGGCTGACGAGGAAACGTGAGCTGCAGAGGAAGAGTCTGCTATCGCTTCTGCTTCTGCTGCCGCTTCTGCTGCCGCTTCTGCTGCTGCTGCTGCTTCTGCTGCTGCTGCTGCTGTAGAAGATGCAGGGGTGGGTGGTGCTGGTGCTGGTGATGATACAGGGAAGGGCGGTGCTGCTGCTGATGATAAGGACTTGAGGGGTGTTGCAGGAGAGGGCGGTGCTGGTGCAGGTGATGCCTGCGCTAATGCCGACGTGACTGACATCATCAGCAGCGTGACAAAGGCGAGGGTTCCTCCCGTTATAGCGCCACGCTTGACGTCACTGCTGTTCGTTTTTCTCCGTTTCTTCTCATTTCTCACGCGTCTCAGCCCCGTCTGCTCCTCATCCCTCTTAATAACACCCCCATAATCCAAACTCAACTCAACCACCTCCTGGCTTCTCTTCAAAGCACCCCCCACGTTCATCTCAGCAACAGCCGCTGTAGTTTCCATGCAGAGCGTACCAATCACCTCTTCCTCGCTGCTCCCAAAAGTCTTATCAAATTTCGCATGCATCAGACTAGATGTTTCTTGGTGTTCCCATCCGACAAATTCAGTCAAGTGAAATTGAATCTCGTCTGGACGAGTAAAGCCGCACGGTGACTGTGGCGAGGGCGATGCTGATGCAATCGACGGTGACGATGGAAGCGGCACCGTTCTCGGCATCCTAACCGTTGATCGTGCCATCGTGGAGTCCGTGGACGGCCGTATCCCCTTCAGAATTCCTAATCTCATTCTCGATTGCTCCCTCTGGTGCCTTGCGAATTGACTGCAGCTAGTTGGTTCGTTTGTTCTCCTAATGCCGGTGGCGGAGGCAGTGGCAAAGCGGCCTAGGGAGGCCGAAAACACTTGATAACGCGAGCGTTCAGCGTTCTCGATAAGTCTTACTGCACCGAGCACAAGAAGTCTCGAAACTGACGAAAACACGGATAAGTCTTGAAATTCAGTGGCGGTGGCGGTGGTCCTGCAGCTTATAGATGGCCGTTGAAGACGCGGATGATCAATGTTTCAGCTGAGTCGAACTGCACAACGACTACGCGATGTCCTGTGCGACGACCTGCGCGACCAGCTGCACGACGGCACTGTCGCCTTCGCAGCCTCTGATACGGCAGAGCTGGCGAATAATGAGCTTCTGTGACCCAGGTGGACTATTTTCTGGCGTCGCTAGTAATTCAAGGCATTCGAACTTTTCGCCAAACGAGCGGCGTTGTCCTTGATTCACGGAGTGGAACGTGGGGACGACCTGCCATCTGTCGTCTGTCGCATTGTGTACCGCTAGGAGGCAAGCTCGAACGACTAACCGCGCTTCGACTGTGCGGAAGCGTCGCGCGCGGCGGTGACCGCGCGCTTACGCATCGGAACGGCGCCATGGTGACGCTTGGACTTGGAGCTGACCTGACGAGGTGCTTGGTTAGGAGAAAGCAAGACTTGGCTAGGAGGCAAAAGTGAGAAAGCGACGAGATGACTGATGGTTGTAATGGCGGTTGGTGGGATGGAGCGGCGACGACGCTGTGAATTGATAAGGCGGTGCGGCGGTAATCTCCACTCTCGAGGTGGAGCAGACTCCCTTCTGGCGGGAACTCGGATGAATGAACCGCAATAAGAGATGCTCCGTTCCAGATACAGTAAAATAAGATTGATGCAAAAATATGGTGAGTATTTAGTATTACCCAGACATATCAGTACATATTACCAATACAAAAAAATAATTTAGATAATCGATTAATTCATTTATTTTAACATATCATAGCATTTTAATATTGAATCATTGCTTAATATATAAGTATTGATTACTTATTGAAGCAAATTTGTGATATCGAGATTATGATGCATTATATGATTAAATTCGATATTTATAAGATTCAAAACTTGATACACATAATCACTTACACCTTACAATGCTTCACATGTTTAGGGAAAGTTTATCATCTAATACATTGTTAGTGAAAACTTTATTATGTAGTTCGTTACGGGGCCGCTTTTTAGCGGAAAGGCAGCAGGCCTCTTGTGTAGGGAGTTGTTGCTCCCAACTGCCAGGCTGCTTTGTACGGTCGATGTTTACCATAGCCAGCCAAGCTTTTAGGAGGTTAGCACAATAGTTTGTAGGTCAAATTGTCGGGAAGTGCTTCCACGAATTGTCGCTGCGATCTACCGGTTTAGGCTAGTTCTGCGGTTCTCTAACTTCATACCTTGGCGTATTTAGGATTCGCATAAGCCATTCTTTCCACGTTAACTGTCTGATTCCAGCTGTCTGAAGGCCAGCCTTTTCCCAGCTTTTCCTTTTGCAGAGTAAGCATTTATTCTCCTAAATTCCGTTGTCTCCAGCCGTCAGTGTTCATAACCAGGAACGCTAGTTAAAGCGTCTCCTTCCTCTCCTTCCCAGTGACTCTATGAGTCCCCTGATGCCTTCCCCTCCACCTCAGAATTCAGCCTATCCCTCACGATTACCATGCTTTCGTCGTGAGCCATTCGTATTTTGAGGCCCCTCAAAAGCCGACTCCGAATTCAGCCTCTCCCTCACAATCACCATGCTTTCCATTTCACTCTGTCACGAATCCCCTCCCGGTCACTGTTGAGCCACTTGAATTCCCCTCCGTCGGTCCCTCAGCAGCCTGATGAGGCAATTCCAATTCCTTCGCGATCACGCGGGAATCTAAACTGGCATCAGTGTGTAAAAATCAACTTACATTTCAATCCGAGTCACATTGGGATCTCCGCATTGTTACTTCACTGATCGCAATTCCGTTTATAATTCCTTTTGCTTTTTTCCTTTACCTCTCTTCTGCACTAAACTTCATATTGGCCCAGCAGCAAATAGGGGTTTTCTGACTGTGTTACGTTGTTACCAATCCTCTCGCTTGCGTGGCTCGCTGATGCCTCGAGCTGCTGATCGCAAGCTCGCCAACCTCGCTGTCAAGCGGCTGGTGTCTGATTTCCTCGACGCGCCCTGCTGCGACACGGATGACTACGTCTCGTACCTCGGCCAGTAAGCCATGCATACCATGCCAGGCCATGCATCCCATGCCATACGAATTGAAGCAGTGAGCCATGTCATGCCATGCGCCATGTGCCATCAGCCTTGCTGTCAAGCGGCTGGTGTCCGACTTCCTCGACGCGTCCTGCTGCGACACGGATGACTTCCTCTCATACCTCGGCCAGTAAGCCATGCCATTCCATGCCATGCATCCCGTGTCATGCCATGCATGCCATGCTGTGCGCTCGAGGCAGTGAGCCATGTCATACCATGCGCCACGAGCTAATCTCGCTGTCAAGCGGCTGGTGTTGTTCTTCCTCGACGCTTCCTGCTGCGACATGGATGACTACGTCTTGTACCTCGGCCAGTAAGCCACGCAAGCCATGCCATGCCATGCCATGCCATGCCGTGCCATGCCGTGCCATACGTCTTGAGGCAGTGTGACACGGATGACTACGTCACCTCGGCCAGTGGGCAATGCCATTCCATGCCATGCCATGCCATGCCATGCGTGCCGTGCATGTATCATGACCCAGTGAGACACGGATGAGCAGTGTACCATGCCATGCCATGTCATGTGTCTCGTACCTCCGCAGTGAGACATGCATCATGCGAGCCAAGAGACATCTCATATTTCACTTGCACTGCTCACCCATGTCTTTCTTCTGCCCAACTCCTATGTCTCCTTTGAACTCTCCCTGGCCTACCGCCTATCCACCAGCCAGTCCGCCCCACCTGCCAACACATGCATAACTAGCCATGAGACATGTCAATGTTTACTTTGCACTGCGTACCCATGTCTTTATTCTGCCTATCTCCTATGTCTCCTTCGAAATTTCCCCATGCTACAGCCTATCCACCAGCCAGTCAGCGCCACCTGCCAGCAGCCGAAAGCGCAAGACAACTGTAGACTCGCACGGACTCTCCCCTGCTGTCAGTATTCCCTCTCCCCATCCTCCCCCTTCCTCCTCTCCGCCATCCCCAACCCCCCTCCACCCATCCTTTCCCCTTCTTCCTGCTATTGTGACGTGCCCAGCCTGTTTGTACGGCGTGATTTGCTTTTTTTCGCTGGTTGTTTCCTTTCCCTGTGCAAACAAAAGCTTTGCTGCCTCATTCACATTGTGTTCCGCTTTAACATTCTTTCATTTGTT